GCACAGGAGGAACCCTGTGACGAGTCACGGTATGGTGTCCCCACTACTGCCACCACGCCATTATTAAGGAGAATAAAGGATTTATAGCTTTGGGATGGGGTCCCCCATTATTAAATATGATTCACACTGGATGCAATTTTTCTTCAACATCAACAAGATGATTGGCTTCTTGTTCCCCTTCTCGCTCGGATCTCTGATTTTACATTATATTCCTAAAATTTATGTGACCATTTTAGCATTGTCACAGTGAAGGTTAGAACACCTTTTTAATTTATTGCAACTCTAGCCAACCTTTTGCTCAACTTTTATCAAATTCAAATGTCAATGGTAATTTAGTGGATGGATCCCTAGCCGATTACTTCAATCTGCCAGTGTTATATATTCACGTATACGTACATATGTATCTATGTATGCACAGTAAAAGATTGACGACATTTTATATGTAATGACTCTTGTACTTCCTTTTTGAGATCAGAGTCTACAGGGAAATTTATTGGAAATGCAACAATGCACTCATGTGCAAGAGTGAGTGAGTACCATTATGGGTGAACTTTTAGTCAATAATTTTATCCCCATTTTATTGTTACGAAATCAAATTTTGGTGAGGAAACCTTTTTACCCAAAAAATAATAACGTAATTATTCATTTTTAAGGAAATGAAAAAACTGGTGGATGAAGAAACACTTGATGCATTTTTTGCCACATTTTCCTTCCAGCTACGTCTACGTATATGTTTAGATGTGTATATCTAAATAGAGTTAAGTAATTATCTCTATCAGGGCGAATGTTTTTATCTTACTTTACTCATCCCGACCACTGCTTTGCACGAAACAAGCTAGCGTTCAATTTACGAAAGTAGTTTCCCCATTATTCCGAGGATTCATTTTTCTGGAACACGCCCTGTCGACTGCATTTCTATACCACTAACTATTGCATAACTATCCAAGTTGATGGTTGATGAGACGAACGCCTCACTGGTTCGCGGATATTGTGTAAAAAGCCCTGGCCGAGATGGCGGAGATGGATTTTGGAATGAAGAAGAAAAAATATTGTGCAGTTTTCCTTCAGTATTCGGATGATTACCCTCGTGCATGAAATCATTTCATCCTCTTATGGACCTAACCAAACCTAGCCGGTTGGTTTACCAAATTCGTGCATTTTCATGGATGAAGAGGGTGGGCGTTTTGTTTAGTTTACGTGTACGGCGTATAGCGTATGTGCACATGATATCTATGCAGCATGTCATCATCAAGTTTCTTTTTCCTTAAACCAAGTTATCTAGAGCACCGATGTGAAATATAGAGGAAAAGACGAGATTTGAAGAACGGTAGAGCTGGACAAATTGGTGAAACTGCGAGTCATTTGTTCCTGTTCATCGTCCTTTGTTGGATGTGTTGTCTGTCTGCCAATGATGCGTTCTATCCATTCTTTATGAGATTACCGGTCTGAATCCACTTTCTATCTGCGATATATCTCCACATTGGCATGCTACATTATTATGTTTGAAATGCTATCTACTATGCCACGACGTGTTTCGACGAGGGATTTCGTGTTTAGGAAAAGCAAGCTTGGCGACACGACTGACACGGAATGACATTGCACCACACAAAAAAATGGGCGGACCTCAACATCTCATCTTCTTAACTCATTGAGAAAGTGAAACTTACGGCTGATGGTCACTTCAGGAGGATGAGATATACTTGCTATTCTAGGCTCTAGAATTCCGCCACCACCTTCTGGTGCATTCTCTGTGATTGCACCGAGGAGGAAAAAAACTGTCAGCTTTTTGGTAAGTGAACTTTCCCTTGTTGACTTTATCAGCACCAAGGCCGGAAAGATTGAGAAGATGAGAATATGAAGACAAAGTGCTCTTTGTGCACATCACACCAATATCCTTGCAGTCTACTTCGACTGTCTGCTACATCAGGGATATTGATTACATTTTTTTCTGAAACAAAGCCGTCAACCAAAAATGCAGTCCTAAGAATCTGAAGTAGAATCACCAAATGAAATGGCCTGAGATAAATAAAAACCTACCCAGAGAAATTGTCTAAATCGTAATCATTGTACAAATTATCAATTTTTTTCGACACCGCTCTTTAAATTTGTAATAAAATATTTAACCGTTTATAATAAACCCATTTTTTCACTTCTCGATTTCGATTCTACTCAAATGCCCTGTTTTATAGACAAAACTTATCATTCTGATTCTTGACATTGATTAAACTTGGTACAAGTTCAAAGTGTTTGAGCAATATTTTTGGGGTGCTGGATTACGTGTTAAATTGTATGAATTTGCTTCGGGTACTTCATTTTCACTTTACTCGACAAACGGAACAACGAAATGGGGAGAAAATACACAATAGCTTTTGAATTTGGAATGAACCGATTGAGAGCAATTGTGAGAAAACTCGGGGTGGAAGCAGGGTAAATGATTTTCTCAAGACTGCGTACTTGTAAAAAATATGGGAAATATGGATTTGGTCTAATGCATTGGATTAAAGGGTTCTCGGATGTTTGGAAATTGTATTTTGAATCAATAAGTCAACAAGGGTTAGAATTTGTAGAATCGAATCGTATAAGTGGGAAAAAGACGGATAAAATTTGAACAGCCACCGAACAAGGAAAAATATTTATTCCATATTCCCTTAACAAAACTGACGAACAAATGCAGCATGTTAAATCCCTCGTGAAATTGCATCCATGTGTTTTGTAATGTCTTTATTTGAGCTCTCGGGAATGCAATTCTGTGGTTGTTCAAATAAGTTTTCAAGCTACATGCATGTTATTCATGCAGTTTACGAAAATAACAAATGCAAATATTTTCCCGGAGGAATTCGCCCCTATGCAAATACCTATGCATGCATACATATGTTTCAATCCGTTTAAAGTTGGACGTTTGATATGTAAAACTCTTGGCCAAAACCAAATAACAATAATTACTCTGAATACGCACGTATGCAATTGGAATTGTTTGGTAGTCGTGAAAGACCAGTAGCCTGCTGGACTATCTCTTCCTCTCCCTGCATCTCCTCGTGACTTTGTTATTACACTCGCCACGGCTCACAAAACTAATATACAAAGTCAAGAGATGGGATGAAAAACAAATAAAAAAACTGACCTTTGTCGAGGATGTGTTCCAGCTTATGTATTTTTTACAAGGCTTCTTTATTTATTTTCTCCTAACCCGACTGGCTTGAAACGAGTTTTGGAAGAAAAAGACAGGAAACAAGTTTTCATTTAGATCTGAAATCACTTGCTACTTGATTCAATTTGGACAAGCACCAAGACCAATTTTTAAGCTGTATGTATCTGTGGTTCACAATTGGTTCAAGTACATCGTGTTCAGTAGCCAGAATCAGTCAAGTTGCTTTCTCCCCCTCCATCCGCACTTGCTGTGATGTGGTCAGTATTGCACAAAGAAGACTTTGAAAAAAAATTGGAATACCAGTCCTTGTTCACTTTAGCAGCAACTTTATCCGTAGTCCAGCCACTGGCACGCTCTGTAATATATACTAACAGGATGATAAATGACGTTAACCAGACAGGATTTGATGCACCACAACTTCACATAGCGTCCACTCAAGTGCACAAGATGATAAATAATAAATAATATTATCAAGTTGTACACGATATCAAAATCCAAAAGTGAACAGCATCAAACGACAGCTAAATATCTACGCGTTTCATAGACCAATAAGAATTTCTACAGCACGAAGGCGAATTCAGACGACGTAAATGAAAAATTTTCCAAATATTAGAAGCAACAATTTTTCCGCTTCAGTGAAATTAATAAGTAAAATAGTAATCCGAAAAAAGTATTGTTTTTCTCAAACGCAATAATATTGCTGTCCACTAGTCGCCACAAGATTCAACTAAAGAAGACGATGAGATTATGAGATCGAGTTCCTTTATGTTCTGCTTTTGCCCACTGTTCCTTTACTCACTTATTTTTTCACTCTTTTGGTTCACTCTGAAGATTCACGTGTGTCCACCACCTTCTAATGTTACGCTAGACGGCGAGACAAAAAGCCACTTTTCTTCATCCTGAGATAAATTGAGGCAAAAGAGAAGACTTGGAGGCGACTGAGACTACTACTACTCGCTGGAGTTGTAATGTAACCAAACGCCAGAACCTTGGTTGATATCCCCTCCATTATCACGGCCCTAATATCCCTGCATTATGCTGCTGTGTTCAAACCCTCATTTAAATCTGTATTCAAACTTGCGTAACTTTCCTGAATCCACGATGGAAGGAATGGAGAGAAATACAAGGATTCATAAGCAATCATTATTACACTCTCCTGTTTTTTTTATAAACATTAAGCAAGTGCTCAGCAAACATCTGCTGTTAAAAGTTGGGATTGGATATTATTATTATGCATGTTGGATGTGGTTTGACTTCTAATAAACTTCTTGTTCAAATCTCAACTGTTACCTTTCCTACTATTCGCTCACATGTTCCAGGTCTCCTATTATGACTGGTGTTGGAGTATTGTAGCTTTATTTATGCCGTGTCTTGGATATATGATCATGACGTCGACGACTTAAGTACCAGTTCCATGTCCTCGACTGCTTTGATTTTTTCTTGTCCAGAGCCTGTGTCAGTCAGCTCTCTCTCTCACTCAATTTCTCTTCTCGCTGGAGTAAGTGCTTTTTACGAGCATTTCTAGATTGTGAACGCTGAGACCGTATCATCCACCTCGCATTTAAATTGCACTGAGTGGTGTGATAGTGGTTAGTTATGAACTCGGCATGAGATATGAGTGGTGGTGATGAAGTAAGTCATGGAGTTACAAACTTCCGAGTCTCGAGCAGTCGTATATCATTGGTTAAAAAAATTGTTATTATTGTGTACATACATATGAGACCTACGGGGAACAGCTAACGTAACTAACTGCCGTAATTACCAATATAATTATGCGATGACCATTGCTTTTCTATCTTGAGGGCACACCAATGAATGCAACAAAGTAACAAATCGTTAAATACAAACCTACCTTTGTTAAATATTCTTCTTACACTCCAGCCCACGTGCATGGAAGACAATGACAATGTATTCAAAGGGAATCCTTTATCCAGCGTGATGTCCGAATAATAGTAAAGTCAATCAGGTTATGATTTCAAGTCTTTTATGCAAAACAACACGAGAGCAGTTTTTGTCTTGATCCAGAAACACTAGATTTTATTCTGATCACTGATTATTTCTTGGCAATAGTTAAATACGAGTTATGAGCTAATATAGAATCAATCCGGTCCAATTACATGGAGAGAATAGTCTCCAACATGAGTATGTAGCATGAGGAGGATAACTTTGAAACGCGTCCTTCACCCGGACCGAGAAGACTGGAACTGAAACTTGTTCTGAGTTGTTGGGGGAAAATCTTGCTTCATTCCATCCAGCACAGCCCTCCTCGATCCTCTTAAAGTCCGGCTCATCCTCAGAGACGGGAAGGCTGGAATATGTGCATACACCAAAAATGCGTGCACTTTGTTGGGATCATCTTTCTACCTTTTCCCAGAATAATGCATGCCTATAATCAGAATGGATTTTAGGTGATAGGAGAAGGTACTCCCTAGAAAAAAAATGAGCCTAATCCACATCTGGATTATGTATGTGCAAGTTTTGTCATGATATTTAAACAAAAATTAGTCCTATCACTGAACCCACTTGGTAGTTTTGTAATCCAACAAACATATTCTTCCAAGAACTAAATACAAATATGTACAGTGTGCCCATATTTATCTACAAATAGTGACTTGACTCCTCAGTTGCATCGATTTACTTACCAGTATAATAACCATACAGGTTACGGGTACATTTAAATTTAATAGTCTAACTTGCATACATATAACAAAAGCATTGGTCATTTTACATTTCTTAAAATCCAACCTTCGAATCCTAACAGACCATTGTGTGGAGATATGTATACATATTTAGATACATTTGCCGGAAGCCGGACTTTCTGGAGATTCTGTCCAGAATTAATTCAGACTTTTCTTTTTTTATTTCAGGAAGCATTTGCACTGGATGTGCACTTATTTAGCATACACTTTACTCTGGTTGGAGTTCTCATATTCCTCGTATCGTCTGCAATCCAGCCTAACCAGTGAAATAGGCATATGTACTTATGTATATCTTGGTAGCTACACTTGTGTGCAGTGCACTTAAGACTTTGGTTCAAAATCCGAAACCATTTTAACAGACTTCGCCCGACATCAGTCAGACTCGTCGTCGTCTTATCCCAAATGCACACGCGACATAAGGATGGTGTCTCACACAACTTGTAGCCTAAAATCTAGCTGCCCCCATCATATATTGTGGGTGGGTGGGTATTACTGCGTATATGTGTGCGTGGCAAGAAAAGATACTCATCCACTTCAACTCGGATTTCCATACAACACTTACCATATTCGATGTACAAGTGTTCAAACTTATCGCACATACTTCAAAACTGGTGACTCGGAGAACTAGCCAATTTTAGGGTGTCCTTCACAAGAATATATTGCTCTTCAAAACTTCTTATGTCGCGATATTTTCTTCAACCACTCACAATTTCAATGTCGACATGAAATGATCCTCTGCAAAAATATTAGAAAGCTCTCAGGCAGAAAATGACGGGGAGGTGGTCCAGGAAATTGTGTGGTTTCTTGGTGCACCAAAGGAAAACAACTTTCATCACAAGAAGGTTAAAATGTGAAAGCTTGGTCGAGTTCAAAGGTTCTTTCTCGCTGTCACATTTTCTTGAGTCTCCAGGTTTTTGACAATTTCGCCGTGATTTCTTTCCATCCTATAAAGCAAACGTATATTTGTTTCACTTGGCTTTGAAGATCAATGAAGTGTAGGAACGCTATTGAAACAAGGATTGTTTACTTATGATGAGTGGCACTGCTGCAATTCTTCGATTTCTGTCTTTAACCGTTCTTTTGGACAATACGATTAGGACTCAAGTCTTTGCTGAATGTGATAAAAAGAGAATATTCTTCAAGATTATGCAATCTCTGTCGAAGGGTCCACTGGTTTCACAAAGTGTGATATTCACTCTTTATGTATAACAAAAGTGACAGAAATATAACAGCATTGCGTAACTTAACTAAAAGTCAACCTTGGCAAAATTTCAGGACATGCCACTGATAAAAATATGACAACGGTGCCACTATTAATATTCATTGACATTATATAAACACTTTAAGGTCTTAAAACTGAGTATTTGGGTATATTCACAAACTCGAATCAGTTTTTTCTACAACTGAGGACATAAATTGTGGGATTTGGTATTCATTGTCGAACAACTGAAAATTTCAATCCGCTTTCGTCGTCGAATGAACGAGTGACCACAATACGTGCTCCGTTCTGAGTAAGTTCATTTTGTTTGCCATTGTCACCGTGGTACAAACTGAAATGGGATAAATTGACCATTCTTCTCAACCACTGTAGTGAATTCAAGTTGGCTTCAGCACAACTATATTATAACTCTTCATTTTACTGCTGAATCGCTGATGCATTCGTGCATTTTACAATGTGTTTCCACCCCAAACCAAATTTTCCGTTGGTTGTTACGACCAGTGCAGTGATTCAGTTTTTTCTCTATAGATATTTGAGTATACAATTAAGCACCCCAACCTCTCAATATCTCATTGCATATTTATATATCTCGTATGATACGCATCCTTGTTTAGAGATTCATACTGAAGGGGCCGTCGATTTTTAGAATTTCGTTAAATTATTGCTAATACTGATACAAAAGATTCTAATTTGGTTGAATGATGATGCTATTTTATGTCTGCTGGTAAAAAATACGCGAGAGATAACATCAACAAAGGGGCAACTGTGTGTATGGTATCGTTTGCATGTGTTGAGCACCCCCTCCTGCGCGAGAGAAAAGAGCCGAGTCGGAGATTAAATAAATATTTGAGTTTTTAGTTGGATCGTTGTGTATTTGGATAAAAAGAGATCAGCAGAGATCTGCGGATTCTACCACTACGGAACTTGAAAGTGTCGCTGGGCTTCTCTCTCTCTGACACGGGGTTTGATTTTTTATGATTCAATAAAACTGTAGGGAAATGATCAAACAAGAGGACAGAGGTCATTTCTCATTCATAGAATCACGTTCAACTAATAAGGGACCAGCATCATCCTGCTATTCGACAAGGGTCAAAACATGAGGCGAATATAAATGCAGTATAAATGCAAACCTTTGAACATGCTATTTTTTACTAGGCAAAAAATGTCAGTTTCGCAAGAAAAGTGAACATAAACGTCCACATCACTTGCACCTACGGCATAAACGTACTGGTGAAAGTGAGAATAAAATGCGACTGTAATATAAATGTCGACCTCACCTTGTTACCAAGATATGTAGAACATATAGGTATTGAAAAACGATTTTGTGACACGGACATGCAGTTTTATAAACGCAATCTTGAAACAAAGTTGCTTTTAGTAAAACTCAAGTGTAAATCAATCCTTAGAGAGTGCACTTGACATTTTTTTAATTCAAAATATTTAATTAATTTCAAAGAGGTACGCCATGTCAAAAAGTAATATTCATCACGCAAGGTGAAATAGGAATCGGAAGACTATTTATTTATTTAGAAATATCCAACTATATATTTTACCTATGCGATTCTAACTCTATTTGAAAGTGCATGGTCTTTCAGCCAGATTGTTAAGCTGCTGCCGCCGCCGTGATCAATAGATCAATAGTTTCGGTCAAAGTAGTCACACTTCAAGGAGTTGTAGTCGTTGCATGGTTGCAGCACCACAAGGCGCAAGAGTTGACATTGCCTTAATTTATGTTTCGTCGCTTCAGGAGTAGAAGGGGACGATTAATTACTTGTGGTTAAAGTATTAGGCTCTCCAAGGAACTTTAGATTATGTTACGTCATACATACACACAATATAATACAACCAGGACTAGTGGGATCGAAAATTGCTACTACAAACATAATTTGGTTTACCACCAAGTTAGTGTTCCAAATATCTTGCGTAGTTTGCCGACAATAACGATTTCCATACAAACTAAATGCTGCATTCATGGAACTTCGATGGTACAAAATACTGAGCATTTCAGCATCTACGCGGAATGTTTATTATTTCAGATAAGTAAAACTGTTTTGTACAATAGCATTGAAGAGGACGAGGGCACAGGATTTCCACCGGGTGATATCTGGCGATTTGTAAACGTGCTTGTTATCCAAATCAGAAATCTGGGCAGAAAGCGAGAGGGTAAGTCAGTCCACCCGAAGAAAGGAGAAAGTCCGCACTTGGCTGGAGTCTAGCTCTGCCAGAGATGCGAGGCTTGGAAACATCATCAATATTCAAAGCATGATGTTTTCACTCTCTTCTCCTGAGTCAGCCTGTCATTGTGCGACATGAGACTTGCTGATAATAAGAGAGACGACAAGCATTGTGCTAATTATTATTCGAAATATTTTTTAATTAATTCCACACGTTACAACAACCATTTATTTGATCTTGCGTATAACTTATTGAGATGCACACAACACTGTGTTTCGTAAAATCATTATTTAAAATTACCAAAAAACAATGTTTGTAAGTTATTATTAATCTCGAAAATATTTGCAGACATATTTCAGAAGCGAATGCTATCTATAAAATAGTAGTGACGAACAAAGGCATAATTTGTATATACGAATTTCATTACTGTAAAGTATATTTATGTATAATTTGCATTACAGTTTGCATTATTTAAAAGTTGTTAATTGTACATAAGACGGGTTACAATCGTTGTGCAGGAATTAAATATTTTAAAATAAAATAAAACGTTATAAATGGTGGAGAGAGGACATTATACCCCAATGTGCCTCCGCATTCGCCACGAATTCTGTTTCAGGTCGGAATCGTCGTATTTTGTTCGTGAGAATTCGCCGACTTCATTCCGATCCAACATCAGAATTCAAATTTAATTCGAAATCCCGAAGTTGATACGACTCTTAATAACGAATTCGGGCCAAATGCTGATTTGGGGAGCAGAACTCGCCGACTTAGTAACGACATAAAACAGAATTAGGATTAAATGCGTAGTATCGCATTCATATCGAATTCGCTTAAGGGTTTCCTTTCAGATTCTGAATCGATTCGAGATATTCATATGCGTTTTGGCATCGGACATGAGAAGCCGGAACGAATTCGGCTGCACGCTTTACATCAGAATCCTCGTCGCTGAATCCGATCCGACTCTGTATCATCCTCCCCAGGAGAGAAGAGAACACGTGCATTAGTGGCATATCACTTTGATTCTTCCTCCATTCTTCCCTTGGCTGTAGTCTTATTTTTTGTCGATAAATTTAATTTTATAATGAGCAGCGAAATTAAAAAGTACTCCGTTGTCAATTTCCATGACGAAAATACAGTTGCGGCCGTGTGCTCATCGTGGTTAAATGAAGACAAATCCATCTGTTCGTGGCCAATTGGGCCAAACGCAGGGGACAAATTGCGTAAGAATCTTCCAGCAGATTTAGATGCGCCAAAATTCCCTTGTCAGTGGCTCATGTCTTATAGTAAGTAATTTGATAACAATTTAATATCGAATATAAATTGTAATGACAAAAAAATTATAAATTACACAATAATACAATAACCATGCATTTGGCTTTGTGAGCAGATTTGGGGATTCAATACTTTTATATTAACCTTTAGAGATATAATTTCAATTATTTAAACATTTGTCGGTTCGCAGATTCTCTTAAGTCAGCAAGGAAAGGATGTATTGCGGCTAAATCTACCGACAAGATACCTCCATCAGAATTTGAGGAAACAACTCATAAAAAACAGAGAAATACGCGAAAAGGGCAATCCGCAGCTAAATCTACTCCCTCTACAAAATATTCCGAGTCGACCAGTTCTGACGAGAGCAGCTTGTCGTCTGAAGAATGTGAAACATTACCGGTCACATCATTTATCCCGACCAGTGAGCAATTTTTATTCTGTTTCAGTACACATTAAATTGGGATAAATTTATATAATAACATTGTGGTAATGTTCCAGCACCCAGCATTAGTCTCAGCACAAATTCTCAAGTTCAGCCTTTGTCGGCCCTCCCACAATCTCATAATTCTTCCCAGGCGGAGGAGAATTTGTTTGATCAATCAGGCAATAACGAAACGACATTCTCCTATGTTGAGATTACGAATCCAGAAACTGTTGCAGAACTTGTGACACTGGTTCGAGATCTGAAGACTGAATCTCAAAGTAAGTAATTATTTCTACTACTCGTTTGTACTAATTTTTCCTAAACAGTGTCATTGAATAATGAGTACAATCTATGCCGTCTGTGTCCGTAGACTTACAGGCAGTGGTGGTGAAGGAGTTAGTAAAAATTAACGAAACATTGGTCGAGTTGCTTCGTCGAACTTCGACACTTGCTCCACGTGTACCTTCTTTGCCCAGCTGGATCATCCAAAACTACCGGTTTGTAATAAAGAGGATTTTTACAAATTGAGTGACTGGCTTAAGCGGGATCAGTCGAACATTGAAGAATTGGTAGGTGAATCATAGGCAATTTATGAATACAACCCTAATTTTATTACTTACATAAGTGTCATTACTTTCAGAGTATTCAACTTGGTTATGTTGGGGGACGAGATTTAGACGATATCATCGCGAGACTGTTATCTGGCCTAATTTCCACAGAATTAGCACAGACCTGCAGTCACAGTGGGAAAGGAAAGAAGTCTGAATTTGGCCTTGTTGGTGTATTTTTGGATCTTGTGTATAGTAAGGGAGCATTTCACTTTTAGTGCCGCTACATCTTACATTCTTAACTCGTACAGTATAAATATATTTATAGGAAGTGTGCGGCATAACTCAGCTGAAGCAAGTACAACTAGATCGAACTTGGCTGAAAAACCAGAAGGACCCGAGGAAAATTGCCAACAAAACATGTCCAACATCTCGCAACGTTCAAGACAGCGGTCAAGACAACGGTACCGAGTAGCAATTTCTCAGGCCTTGCTTCAACAAATACGAGAACCAAGACTGGGTGACCGCAATGTAAATAGCTCCATACGTATAAGTAATTGCCCAGATAATAATAACGTAGTTACTAGTAGTAATAGCAGTAATAGTAATAATTTGTCACCACCCCAGACAAATTGTGTCCCAAATGAATTCTCTTGCGACACGTGGGTTAGTAATAATATTTCCCAGGATAATAGAGTTAGTTTAGAAATCGAACCAATTGGTTTTCCAATAGACATAGAGCTGCGTGAATGGACAGTTCGTCATAACATTAAGCACTCAGCTCTAAGGGATTTGTTATCCATTTTAAATAAAACCCACTCATTTAGTTTACCTATTGATCCACGGACTTTGATGAAAACTCCTAGAAAATTGAACATTTTAGTTGTTAGCGGTGGAGATTTTTATTATTTTGGCATTGTCTCCCACCTTGTAATCCACGTCAAATATGGTCTACAACAGACAGCCAAAACAGCAATTTATAATACTTTAAGGGCAGATAGTTCTAACCCAATAATAAGCATAACTGTAGGTATTGACGGTATTCCAATTTCTAAGAGTTCCAATAAGCAGTTTTGGCCAATTCTGGGTATCGTGGATCAATCGTGTGATCGCACGCCTTTTGTAATTGCACTCTACTATGCAGAACATAAGCCGACAAATTTAGATTTGTTACAACCATTTGTGGAAGAATGTAAAGCTTTAGAGCAGGATGGGATTATAATTTCAGGGAAACTATACACTTTTAGAATTTCTAGAATTCTTGCAGATGCACCTGCACGCAGTTACATTAAAGGAATAAAAAATCACAATAGTTATTTTTCCTGTGAAAGGTGTCATGAGGAGGGGGAATGGAATGGGCGAGTTACGTTCTTGAATACAGAGTTTAGAAAACGAACAAATGAAAATTTTGTACTTCAAACTGACACACAGCATCATAAGGAAATCTCCCCCCTCACAAAATTATGTATAGGTCTCGTTTCTCAAGTTCCGTTGGATTACTTACATTTAGTATGTCTAGGTGTGACAAGGAAACTTTTCCGAATGTGGGTGAAAGGTCGTATTCCTTTTAAACTTCCAGCTGGAAAAATCTTAGCAATTTCTGAACGCCTATCTAATTTTCGTGAACATTTTCCTTCGGATATTCCAAGAAAACCTCGATCGTTATTGCAAATTGACCATTTTAAGGGTACTGAGTTCCGAACCTTACTACTGTATACAGGAATAGTTGCACTTCGAGATATTATTAAGCCAAGAGAGTATAGAAATTATTTGAGATTTCATGCAACAATTTATATTCTTCTGTCGCCAAGAGCTGATAATAGTGAATGGAACCTTCAGGCAGCGGCTTTGTTAAAGAAGTTCGTTAAAGGGTGCATGAATCTATATGGGAACGAATTTATGGTTTACAATGTGCATGGGTTATTGCATATTAACGATGATGATGATGCATTATTGTTCGGTAGTTTAGACAATGCGAGTTGCTTTCCTTTTGAGAACTACATGCAGAAAATTAAAATTCTCTTGAGCTCACATAATTTCCAATTAGAACAAGTAGTTAAACGGATTATAGAAATGGATTTGGTACGACAAGATATGAATGCGATATAAAAAATTCTCCCCTAAATCTAGCTGTAAGAATGGAAATAACTGCTTCATGCTTAGGTCTGGTGGAATTGTAATTTTACAAAATTATACTTATAGAAAGAATGATTCTGTCGAATATACATGTCAACAGATTTTAAATCTACACTCTGTCCAATATTATCCCTTCGATAGTTCTAATTTAAAAATTTACTTTTCATCCGGTTTATCAGAACCGGCTAATATGGTACTTGAACCAGAAGATTTCTTGTTTAAATATATTAGATTACCTTATAACAGCGAGTTCTTGTTAGTTCCATTGTTACATTCAATAAAAATATAAATATTCATTAACGTGTGCACTGACTTTATATTTTATTAAAAAGCATCATCATAAAGCATATTTTAAGATATATAATTCACTAATCCGAAGAGCATCGGAATGGAGTCGGCTCCCGAATTCGTACTGAGTTCGAAGCCACGATGACGATCAGAATTAGCATTTCGAATTCGTTCCGAGTTCGAGCCTACGCAGGCGATTCGAATTCGGATTTCGAATTCGTACCAGGCACAACTAGGGCGACAAATCCGGAGTGCGTTCCGAATTTGGGCGACGACTTTAGAACGAATTCGTATCGAATGCGGAGGCACATTGGGACAGTAATTCATAAGTCATCACTTACATGCGCGTAGATAAACCAATTAATAACAATTATTGTTACATTATTTACCCCTTTCACATGGTACAAAATTATTAACAATATTTTAACATCCTTTTCATTAAGCTTCAATGAGATTGTCACATGATTTAGATTTTAAGCTGGACTTTCTCTTGGTCCGCCGATTGATCTGAATCACAATTGGTCCGTTTTTCACTTTTTTGAAGCAACTGTAAAAAAAAAGTTTGACTGTTAAACGCAAAATTACAATTTATAACTCGCACTTGTTTATCATCTTACTTGACGGCCTCGTTGTGCGTGAGTTGTTCCATCGGGTCTCCATTAATGGATAAAACTTCGTCTCCTGTTGAGATTGAACAAAACACAGTCATTAGCTCATGTTCATGGTAGCATTTCACAATTCGAGGTGACGGGTTCATTTGTCCATCCGACTTATTTATTGCCTATTGGGAATTCTAGTGGTCATTAGCACAGAGGAAACTACGACCACGTCAATTGGATTCGGATTCTGATCTACACTGATTCCACAGTACTCAGTCCGTATATCGGTCGGTTGATCAGTCATGGTGCACTTTTCGGGAAGATTTTTTCCTCGCCAATTTATGTAGCTATCCCTTGTATATGCTCATTCTATGGTACATAAGAGCATATCGAATCGTATGCTCGGCCACCACGACATACAACTAATAAAGACTTTTTAGGCTGTGGGTGGATACTTCCCGTATTGCTCAAAATAGCGGCAAGAAAACGTAAAGGTTGAAAAACATTGTTCGATTGTGTTCAGTTGCATTCCACGGTTGATGGAGCAAAGGAAAGGAAAATCAAGAAGAACAAAATCTTCACTTAGTTTGTGCCCGTGAGTTTAGGTGTGGGTGGCTGGTGCGGGCATGCAACACATTTCTACATGCACCCAGCTAGCTCACTTTCTCTTTGTCTTGTGAAAGATGAAAAGAGTCAAAGAAGTCAGTTGGGTGAGTTATGATACCAATTTATTATGGAACAAGTAGAAATCAAGTTCAAGCTGTGCTGCTCAAATCGAAACAATTTGGCTGAGCTGGTATTATTATGGATTAGGAGGAGTAAAAATATATATAGACACGAGACTTTGTCAATAATTTGATGTCATGCTCTTTCAAGCAGCAATTCGGAAGTTGGCTGGTTTAGGAGACAACTGTGGAGCGAGGAAGTAGTGAGGAGTCGGGGCAGGTGATGGATTTTAAATTCGGAAACTGTTTGTTGCGGCAATAAATCTTTTAGTCTTTTGTGACTGCTCCCGTCACAGCGAGATCAAGGATCATCAATATAAAAGTGACTAAATGGAAGCCAAATAAATACGGCTGTGGTTTAATGGCGAGACGTTTGATGGCGAGACAAATTTTATTAGGGCTGCACATCTATTATGTATTTATAAACAAATAACGGAAGGGTGCGAAATGAAAATAAAATTACCTTCTTGGAGTCGCCCGTCCTCGAAAGCCTGACCGTTGGGTAGAATACTTTTGACAAATATGCCAATGTCTCCTTTGGGTGAATCCTTCCCTCCGACGACGGTAAAACCTAAGGGTTTTTTACCACTGCCTTTCTCAAACACAATGGTCATTGAGGTGAGACAGGAGGATTTGGGTCGACGTGGAAGGGTGCAAAAGGACGGCGACTCGTCCTTACTCTTTATCCCACCATTGGGTGACTCCAAGTCGAGAGAGGCCGTGTTGGATGACGACTCCATTAAGCTGTTGACAAACTTGCGTCTTGCGGAATTAATATCACTTCGACTAGCATTATCATCAAAGGCAACTCGATTTCCCTTGTTTTTCCTAAGGCTGTTCTTGCTCCCATGTTCACTCTGCTTTCGAGAATCCTCCAAATCATGCTGCTCACCATCATCGTACGAGATTTTAATGATGGTCTTGTTTTGTGACTCTTGAAGGATGCAGAGGGGAGCAGGGGAGGTTGGCAGTGGGGGTGGAGGGGTCATGGACTGATGTCGAAGAATGACGAGATCCAGGTCTCGTTTGAGACCACTCAACAGTAAGCTGTACACTTCGGAGAGACTCAAACCACGAACAAACTTCCCATTGATGCTAATTATCTCATCCTCAAGTTGAAGTTCGTCTTGACTGAAACACATATATATTCATAGAGTTAGAGTCATGTTTTCATTTTAAGGGTGCATTTCCGTTCCACTATTGAATAGCACGCACGATCATACGTAGTTACGACCAATGATAATAGTTTTACAATTGACAAAATTAGACAATCATGATCTATTACAAAGCATTACAGAGCATTTAGTTTAGTAAATAAGCATCCAAGTAGTACGAGATAATTTAAAAACATAAGATCACGTTTGCATAAAATATTATGAAACTTGTGAATCAAACTTATAAGCAAATCCTCAAAGGCCTCAAGCTAGAATAATTTTGTAAGAAAATCTGAGAACCAGGGAGAGCGAGAGAGAAAGTGCGGAGTGTAATTTCCTTTTCCGTCCTCAGGAAAAAGTTCCCGTTGTTTAATATTGAACCAACAAAAAATCAGAATGATTTGGTGTTATTTTACAGGTTTCCTAGATATTTTTACGGGTTGAATGGGGCTGATTCGATTTCGGTTGCAACGCGAACCCCTCCGCAGACGGGAAACGGAGGGGAGAAAAGAAATTGCAAAACTTTCTCCCGAAACGTGTCGTAAAGTTTTGAATGTGCATTAGGAGAATGATCATCAAAGACATACTTGAGATTTGAATTTAGCAATTCCCAAGCATTGTGGATTAGGTTAATCTAATTCACAACAACAGCAGCAGCATGTACGTATGTACACAGATTGCTCATATAGAGTGAAGGAGTCTTCACTCTTTTAAAACTGAACAATAAAAAGGAAATGTTTGTAAAATAAACAAACACGACCAAGTATCTTTTCCCCTCGTTTTTCTGAGACTCCTCTCGAGTTGATGCAAATGTTTTAAACTCGACGCTGTCGTGCATCACATACATAAAACTTTATTATTTTCGCATTTCTAAAGTTGAGACGAAATCCATTAAAAAGAAAATGATTGGTAATAAGTGCCTCGTCCTGATTGTATTCTTGAAACTCACAACTCTGTTACATATGCAAAGAAAAGACGACGACAGGAATTGTGTGAGTGCATACATATGTAAGTGGTAACATATATGCATAGTCGTGCTCATCGTATTTTCGGAGTACAATACGGAAACCTCATTTTGGGTTGGGAAGGAAATGCGCTGTCAAAAGTTGAATGCATTATATTTCATTACCTGGCAATATGGGGAGGAGACCAGATGATTTTTAGTGATAAATCCGGTTCTCTTTCTCTTTCTCTTTCTTTGTAAACAAAACGTGCGAATGCGAATTAAATTTGCGAATTAAAAATCTACTGAATTAATTAGTGATTGATGAAGCTATCCAAAAATCAGACTTCAAAGACCAGTACTCAAATCAGCCACAGCGATCCTTGCTCTACCGTGAATGGAGAAACACAGGTTTGACTTTGGATGTTCTGGTGTATTATAATTTATGTACATTTATTTCGTGTTTTTAGATGTTGGTCGGATGGCTAGAGAGAAGACAACAGGATTCAAAGCTTTGGCTAAATGGGAGAATGATGAGAACGAGGATGATAAGCAGCCACTCCGCGCAGTTTTGGTGGAACTGAACAAAAGCCATACCAGAGATGCAATCCGGGAACAACTTGACAAACTATCTCAAGTAAACGTACTTTGTTTCTACTTTGTTTGTACTGTACAAATCTCATGAAACGATTTTTGTGTCTAGGAGGAGAAGATTCGAGATGAAAGCCTTACACTCAAACGGACAAATCAAACGGTTGGGAATAGCCTGTGTGAGGACGACGATGATGACTTTTTCCCCACGGCACCAAAGCGAAAGTCTTGTGGAGAAAACTTAAATAATGTTTACTAATGTTTACCTGACAATGGCAATAGAGGAATCAGGATGAATAAATCTGAGGATGTAACCATTAGCTTCGGCAGAATTTTTCTCCAGTGTAATTCCCAACTCCCGGTGCATTTCATCCGGAACGACCGATCTTCGCTTAAAAGGTCCCAATTTCCGGACCCGGACCAACTTATACTCTACTGAAGCCTTTGGTGAATTTTCACTGGAATTAAGGAATTGTTCATTCTGGAAATTCAAATCCTGTAAAGACTGATTCCCTCTCATGGATTTACTACCGCTGCTACTGTCGAGATGGGTCCGGGAGGAAGGCGCAATAAAGTTTAAGGAGGCTGAACTCGGGTCATTTTTTAGTGACGAGCTGCTATGATGTCTGGAACGCTTGTAATCAAAGTAACTGCTGCTGCTCTTTTTGGGATGAGCCGGCATTGCTGTATTTCGCAACGAGGCAAAGGACGAAGGACTGTCCCCATGAAATCGGACCAAACAGCAACCATTGGAATTGGAGCAAGAAGATAAGTCATTTGCGAGCGACTCTTGGAAAAGAGATCCACCATCTACAGTTTCATTGACAATCCCGCTGTCGCCGCCATCCGAATGGTTACTTCCACTTCCTTGACTGCTATGACTGTGGTACGAGGCTGCGGACGAGTTTGAAGTAATAAAGTCCAAGTTTCTGGGAACACTCAAGCTCATAGAGTTGGGCGAAGACGAGGAATGGGAACGCCGGTGCTTGCCCCCGTCACAACCACTACTGGCACCACCGCCACGACTGCATGGCACGTCGTCATCGTATGATTGACTATCGTTGACCGTCATTCCAAACAAAGGGTTAACACGAAGTTCATGATGATGATGCTCTTTTTCGTATTCTGATGCGTCTTCCTGTGCGATCCCTCCAAAGGAAAAACTCCTCATTTTTCTTCCATCCAACACATCATCACTAGCACTCATTCTCCTGCAAATATCGCCACTGCCACTGCTGCTGCTGTTCATACTTTCACCCCCGAGTTTATCATTTTTGTAAAACTTTGAAAACAAGCGGCTAGAAGAAACTTTGCCAGAAACTTCTTTTAATTTAAGTTTTAGTTGCTCATAGGATGATGGGGAAATATCCGTGAGATAACTGCGACTACTGTGTGGAGATTTCTTGTGCGTGGGTGATGCTCCCCTCATGGTGAGATGCTTAGACGGCGGCAATGGGAGTGGGGGGAGGTTGACTACTTTTTGTGAGCATTGTCTATTTGAATGAGTTGGAAGTAGGCCTTGAGATAGGGTTTGAGATTGGTAATTGACATGGTGTCGATTAACAATTCTCTTGAGACAAGGGCTGTTTTCATGACTTCGTCTCAATGAGTCCGAGAGTCCAGGTCGGAAGTGATGATCATCCGAAAATTCCATTTGATTCATGCTCACAGTGTCGCAGTCATCGTTGTAGGATCCAGGTGGGATCCGAACCACGGTATCAGTATTCAGCGAGGGTCTCTTGTTGTAGTCCTCCGAGATGTAGGCGTAACTTTTGGGCTGAAATTCACTCAACCTTGGCTTCCCTTTCAACGGGAACCCGTGTCTGTCTTGACCATGGGGGCGAAAAATGGAGAAATCAGTGGCGGTATTCATGGATGAATTCTCCCGACAAGGAGAGGGGCGAGATAATTGGGGACTCGGAGCTGGCACACAATCCTTTCTTCTGTCCAGTTGAGAAAGTGGGGTTCTTCGAGGCGATGGGCCTAATCCGACTCCGATTGTGTTTCCTCCAGGGTAACCCATTCCCTGAGGTGACCAACATCTTATCCTTCCACCAGAGTATGACATGTGTCGATACTTTTTGTCATCAAACATCCCACTTCGCTTCTCCACAGAGGCGAGACTAAAGTTGTCATCCACCTCTTCGTCAATCGAGTCTTGTCTCAGCTTTCGTCTCAACCAGGGGGAAATGCCTGCAGAATAAAAATAAACAATGATTATGATACGCATCACATTTACGGGTATCAGGAATTGGGCTTGTCAATTTGTGTTTTGTGAAAAATCCCACAGTCAAACTTTTAAAACAGGAAGCAATAACAAAAGGAGAAATGGTGCTTAAGGTAAGCTTTCATGAATTTGAATTTTGATCTGTCCACAAAATGCATGCCATCAAACATTGCGACACAATACGTTTCTGCTGTTCTCACAGGAAGCTCTTATTAATGGATCCAGCAGAGCAGAACTTCCCAAGCTTATTTGTCCACAAGACGCACCCTCTTCTGAATCTTCAACAGAATTTAAACCAGTGATATCTCCCCAGCATATATTTTGTATTTACGTGTGTACCTTGTGCACTAACAAATAGAAAACAATCTTAAAATCAAAATAAAACACTTTTGATGCTGCTCACGATTACTGTCTCATTAACTTATTTTTGTGTCAGACGTTGTGTTTGCTATTGAAATTTTTAATTACAATTTTGTCATTAACTGAGCTTATATTAAAGAATTAGAAACCTAGAAGCAACTTTACGCACAGAGATTATTAACATTGATGAAAGTGGATGGGTGTGGGCACGGTATTATTCAGAGATAAATTGTGTAACGTCAATCTTAAGTCAAATTAAACTCAAGCACTAGTCTCTCGTCAACCAAAGTTACTGATAAACAATTAAGAAAGTAACAACAACATTGATATTTTAGGATAATTGAGATTTTGCTCAATCCGGAACGGACCAGCGACAACGTCAGCCATATTAATAGCATTCTTAATAATTACTCATTAATATAGATGCGCCCTCTTCAAAGCTTTATTGTTAAACCTGAATATCGAAAATTAGTAGCTGTGCAGTGTGCATTTTATCAGCATACAAAGATACGCCGGCATTTTTATTATCTATGTGCTAACATTCACTCATCGCCATTTGTTAGTACAACACATTCGCATTTATGAAAGATACCACCTACTTTGAGTCGAAAGGTACTAAAAACGGTTTTAATTAATTTTTTCCTCCTCACGTCAAGCTTTTCAACATGTGAAAATACATGTTATGCTCTTACACATTGTTTCTTACACAGATTCGCTTAAATAAGTTGCAACTTTTCATCAACATGGTCCATCTGACAATCAGTGTAGAATAAGCTATTCTACAACAATACCCTTTGCATGCACATATGCATTCTTAGGATTAGTACACTACACAAATAAGTCCAATTTTCATTTTTGTTCTTCAGAGATTCGTCTTTATCTTTTGATTATTTTCACTACCAACCAATTATCTTTACGTGGTGACGAATGACTCGTGATGCTGGTTTAAAAAATGATTACCTTTGTATCAGTTAATGAAGTGGCGACAAAATCATTTTATATTTAATTTTCTCCATACAAATCAACAAATGAAGTCCTAATGACAAATGACAAGATATTCTGTGCCACTGCCGCATAGATATTCGGTTCGCTGTCTAAAAAACACATTAAATTTGCGAATTTTACAACTGTGACATGACACAATGACAATACTACGGAAAAGAAACTTCTTTGCTTAACAGAAGACGAGGTTCGTATTTTGGCATGCTTTTTAGCATACATGCAACATATGTACTACGGTACTACGTGTGTACATGAATATTGTACATATGTCATGTCTGCACATGATAGGGCGCAATATGTATGAGGTGGGGACAACATATGTCATATTCAAGAACTGCGTTAACATTCTTTTCATTTTGGCTGAGTCACAAGGATGTAATTCGCGATGAATGATGACTGACTCATTATTATTTGGTGTCAACTCACCCTGCATTTTTATTCAATTGGAAAATGTTTTCCATCCATTTATCTGTATTACGACAAATTGCAGTTTTTGGCAAATCAACAATTTACTTACTTGCACCCCTGAGACATTATTAATAAGTCCATTTTAATTTCCCTAGTTGTACTTTAATTCCTCTGTTGTACAGATTTATGTATGGCATTCTCACATTTGCAAAAACGAATTTGAAGAGAAAATTATAGAGATCATGAAATTCTTCCTTTTTGCCAACCACGACCTGACCGTTCAATGTGGTATAGTTGTGGTTATCGTTTGTAAGGAGTTGGTTGACTACTATTCTGCCCTACCCATGATGCCTCCTGGACATAAAGAAGTATGACGATGATCATTGCTTGCCTCTTAGCTGTGCATACGAATAAACTACAAAGCAAATTTTACTTTTACTCTAGACCAACCAAGACATCGGATGAATGAACTTGATGAAAAAGTTTGCGACGAACTTCTTAGAGAACGGGAGAGAAAGAGAAATCTTTTTAGTTATAAAGTTTCCTATTTAAATCATGGAGATTAAATAGATGATTTGCTCCAGGCTTCACTCAACTAGAAAAGAGGAGAAACTATTTCTTAAGAAGGATGATACTACTATTCGTCGTTGGCTCAACAAATGAACACAAGTTCAGAAATTATACCAAAATAAGAGGAATGAACCAAATTGAATTCAAGTGCACAGTTACTTTACAATACCATTCAATTTGTAATACAATATTTAGGAATATACGTTGAATCAATTTACTACGATGCTTATGCTTATGATGTTTCACCTATTCTAAGATTTGCTCCACCAAAAACGCATTGACTGACTGGGTGGGAATCATTTTTACAGTATGTACATATGCAATTTATAAGTAAAAATATCATCTTTCGGATTAAACTTTGTCACATCAATGTTTGACTAACTTTTGTCATAATCTCATCGATGACTTAAAACTTAAGGTTGAATCAGCTTGAAAAGAGAGAGATTAATTCAGACTGTGCTTACTTCGTCCTCTTGTGCGACGCTTTACTTCGCTTGGAGTTGATGGGGCGGAAGGGGGGAAGAAAGCACTCGTGTCATCCTCATCCTCCAGTCGCAACGGAGACAGACTCAGGAGTTGTGGTCCACCTAATAAATATTTAGTTATGATATTATTACGAGTTAGTTAAGTTAGTTGATTTTTTCGAACAAAGAATTAGCATTACCGTCGCTTCCTTTCGAACCGAACCACTTCATGTTGGCCTCACTCGACTGATTGCTGTAATTCCCGTGCCGCCGACCAGGTATGATGGTAGGTTGTTGAAAATGAACGTGATGCACATTCACTGCTCCACTTGACCCTCCTCCTGCGATTCATACACAAAATGACACATTTTCACTTGTTCACATCCAATTTAGTGTCCCACTAGTATTTGGATAACTGGATTTTTGCACCACTTCTTTTTGTCTCACTTAGCACAACCCCATTAATCTACCCACGCAGCAAATTTATTTGTTAAATGCAAATATTGGGCTCTACTTCAAAACACGACCGACGGCTCATATATGAAAAACACCGTTCTTGGCCAAGTCTCAGCCGTAACTAAACCAACTCAAACAAAGCCAGCATAGTTCGCACCTTTGTCTCACCTTCCTTCACAAATCATGCACAATGTGTGTTTGGTATGGATTCCTTGACAGATCAAAAATCCCAAAATGCATCTCCTCCTTCGTTAGTCGAACCAAAAGCAACACCTTCACTGATAATTGCAGAAGAAGACGAAGAAGAAGAAGAGGTACCTCACCTCAAAGGATTCAGAACAAGAGGGAAATTTATTCTGTTCCAGTGGAATGTTTCTGTTTCTTCAGCCTCTTGATCGTTCCTCTTGTTAAAATTCACCGAGTGTTGCAGCCCTTTATTTACCTGCCATATCCATTTGCTTTTCCACTCTATCGTGATCAGTCAGTGGTCGTATATTGTCTTTGTTGTCTTCTATTTTTAGTTCTGGTTACCACATGGAATGTAAATGTCTAATGTATTATGTAGAGTGGATACATACATGTGCACACCTATGTGCATACGTGTTATGAGACTTATAACCATTTATTTATCTGATGCACCAACGACCACTGCACTCGCTGTACGGGAGTATTCTTCTGAGAAGGTCCGATATCGAGCCCTCAAGCTGAGCAAAAGTGGTTGAAAACTTCCAGCACTAAAATAACCTGGCTGCTCCAATTTCAAACTGTAAGTCTTTTGGAGGAGAGGTACTTGCTGAGGAGAGACGAAGGAAAGGATAACCAACTATTGGTTTTGTTAATGGCCCCACGAATCCAATGGTCACCAATGTGTTATTACACATCAGAGCTACACGAGAAGCAGTGAGCTCGTGATTGTCAGAGTCTACCTGGCGAAGGAATGAAAACATTGAACATCAAAGCCGTAGGTAATTCTCTGTGTTGTTGCTTTTTCAAGAAGAAGAAGAAGAAATCCAAAGTTGAAACCAAGAAGACTGTGACTGACTATACGGAGCAGTATGCACTTGCCTCGCTATATATCTTATTAGTTTTTACAAGTTCCTTACTTGCAGGTATTCATCTCTGCATAGGTACTGCCTACATATGTACCTGTGCATATGTATAAAATATAAATACGTAATGCATTGGATTTTAGAATTACTACAAAAAAACGTGGGTTTAGCTCCTCAGTTAGGGATGCATTGCATATTAAGGATTTTAAAACGAGTTGGGATGGTGGATGCAATATGTAAGTGTGGTGGGCGCATCATTATTTTCCTTCAACATCGTCATGTTCGACGGCTGTAGTCTGTTCTGATCTACCTGCCTACACAACCCCTCTCATCCACGGACAGCAACCAGAACAAGGAACTTGTTTAAATGTAGTATGACATGAGATTGGGTTTGTGTAAGGTATAAGTTTCATCTTCTTCCAGGAGGCCAACAGGGACGAGAAGACGATGAAGAACGGAAAGTCTCCTATGCGTTCCCCACCGTGTTGAAATGAAGCCCATTGTTGCACCTGTTATTCTTCTTCCTTGGCAAGTTTCTACAATCCTCCAACTCTTGCAACTGCTTCAGACGACGGGGACAAAGCTTCTTTTCCGCTCCAGAGCTGCCTGTTGTTAACAATCAACCTGAATTGGAGGCAATAAGAGAGCGGAGACTTTTTTGCCGTGTCTTCTTCGGTCGTATTTTATGTAACTTCAGCTATCTCCGGAAGGACCCAACTTAATTTCTTCTACACTTTCCATCTCTCTGATGGAGCCGTGTAATGCATTCAATAATACCGGCTACATGTACACACGTACATACATATGTACGTAGCTTTACTTGAAAACTTGTCTTGGAAGTGGCAGGCAGTAGCATCTTTTTGGTCCATTTGTATTCCGAATGTCTACCGCTACATGAAAACTAGGATAAAAAGCCAGCAAACAATCTACTTGCCATTAGGAACAAGATGGACCCAATAATTATATGGCTTCCTTTGTTGCAAATGAAAATCCGAGGAGCAGTGTTTACACAAGGAATGTTGGATTCATTTGCTGCAGTAAGCACTTTATTTATCGAGACAACATTATTATGATGACGGTGCAGAAGCAGCCACCTAGACCAACCAGTCGGATAGAATTGAATCAAATAAAGCTTTGCTTTGCTACGATTAACCATATCAAAAAACAAAACTACGTATTGAATCTCGTCTCTGTCTGCGGAATTCGCAATTAAATCTCAACTGGAGTAATTGCCTGGTTCGACAAAAAATGACAACCCAAGTTGTTTCAAGCCCAATCAAAACTAAACCACCACGTGTATCTCTTCGGCAATGAAATGGAAATATTATGTACTTTACAGTTCATATTGAAGGTAAAAACCACGAGAAGCACAATTGCTGCATTTCATCTTTTCATACATGACAAATCTTGTAAATCATAGTTGACTGTCGCACACAAAATTAGGTTGACAGCTAACGATCAGATGAGTCTACAAAATCGTCATCAGTCATGCCGTGATGAACATATATGACAATGTCTCTTCGTTATATGACATCTATTCGTTTTTTCCCAGTTTCCCATTTCGGCAATTTATTCATCTACCTTCCTACCTGCGAATTATGCGTTAATAACAAAATCATAATCACCAATTGGTCAACACTGCTCTGATGTGTTTTTTTCAAGTTTACGAGGAACCAGTTATTGACAGAAGTCTAAAACAGGTTCATTAAATTATATTTTTAGGAGGTTAATCAGACTATCTATTATTACAATCGTATAGCGCTTTATTGACTCAAATCGATGTCATACTTTACAATCACTGTACTTAATTGCTAAAATTCTGAAGTAAACACGTAATGCGTTAGACACAAATGTGTAAATTTTCAGAAACAGCAAAGTGGAGTGAATAAAACCATGCTCACCATCTGACATTATTTCATTAGTCGTGGTAGGCAAAGAACAGGAAGAAGAATGAAAAGACTTTCGAGTGGGGGGCCAAGTCATTCGTTAATGTCATCTCGCACCCGCACGATGCTTTTACCCTATCTTAGAAAAAATATTCACATTGCAAGTATTCCATATTAAGTACGAATTGGTCCCTTTCTCTCATTTTTCTAGGTAATATTTTACTATCATGCATATGTTGATGATCGACATCACATTAGTAAAAAAAATCAAGAATGATATTTTCATGGCGTTCAAGTACTTTTCTTTTAACTGACCATGCACTGATACCGATATCTGAAATTGGATTTTGGATACGAAATTGGGAACATTGTGGATCCACTTTACACATAATCTTTCCGTGATTAATTTGTCTATCGTTGTTTAGTTCTTTGTATTACTTTTCTTCTTTCTCAGAAAACAAAGCAAGTTTTCATTAACGCGATAGAAAGGATGATCAGGAGAATGACAACGCATCTCTCATCAAGTAGCACTTTTGCATTTACTCCTCACTGGCAACGCAACGTCTAAACATGAAACTGGAAACCAAGAAATTCAGTCAGTCGGTAGCAGAAGCCCGATGAATGCAACCACTCCAATCTGATCTAATCTAATCGACTGTCATCATAGAAGAAGCTTGATTTATTCTTCCCTGGGTTGCTTGCTTCTTCTCTTTATTTGCCACCACCATCCCACAACTATAATTTTCCACGAAGGAAAATGCATCGTCTCAATCTCAAACCACATCAAATCCACATCTCACTAAAGTAATCATCCTCATTTCATAGGACCGTGATCTGTGTGGTACTTCGCGTTGGTCTTTTTCCCAACTCGCGTCCCGATTACCTTTTAAAATAATGGAACTGCTTTTCCTGGATGACAGACTATTTTTTAGGGTTATACTTATTCAACCTAAGTAAAAGCTTATATGTAAGGCTTAGCACGTTTTATTATACATGCATGCATACATATGTAAATATGAATTTTCTTGTGATTTAAATTGAGTATGATTCATGAGAAGCTTCGTAAATGATCACAACTAAAGATTACTATCCCAAAGTGTATAATGGTAACATTTTCATCATGCTCATCCTCTGGTTATGTCAGAGCTTTATTGGCCACCGGCAATGTTATTTTAGCCAGCAAAATAACAAGCAATATCGTTTAATTTATTTCATAAATCTAAGATGGTTTGATTAAGCGTATTGTGGAAACCTTGTGCAATATCAATCGCCTCATTAGAGCAAAGTGAAGTTCAAGTTCTAACGCGCAGTTGAAGAGAATCAATTTTAATTCTAATCAGACCAAGTTATCAGAATGGTTTGGTGGCGTGCTTCACAATTAAACCTTTCATAGCACGTTCTCTTCCACAATCGGACGACAATCCGTGAGATAAATGTTCATTTATCAGATCCTGGGCGAATCTGTGTAAACTAGAGTGAGAAATGATCCCAGAATCTTTATTCCCATTAATATTATTGTCATTTGTTTACTCTTGTAAAAGTCTTGGTTTGTGACTGGTGAGAAATTCTCAGGCAGAATGCATGAGAATAAAAAGTTTACTAACTACTTTTGCACTTTGTGCAGCAAACTTTTTGTACCGTCACCAAAAACGATTATTTCAAATGTTAGTTTCCCATAGATCTAACGTTTATGAGGGCGAGGTTAACTTCATACTCTCCAAGTTGAAGTAGCCTAGCGTATGTATGTAGATAATTGCTCCTGTAAAGCATTATTGAAAAGTGTACGCGTAATTACTAGTTTTGAAATTGGAGGTCATATCTGCAGCCACAAGATACACAAAATAAATATGCATGACGATAATAAATACACCAATTCTAAATGTTCAATGTAACACAGATGCATATGTTTGTAAGTTAAATAAGTAGTTATATGTAGCTTCTAGCTACCTTCATGAGTTTATCGCTTTAAAAATCGTGTTGTTGTAAGAAAGCAATCTTTATGAATATACAAACATACATAAATATGTCAATATAGGTAAATGGGAAGGTATGTATGTGCTAAAATTGCCAGTGAGTTCTCAATTAATTAATTACTTACAAATTGCTTCACAGATTAGCATTAGGTAAATGTATTTATTTGTTATTCGTGTTTTCAAAGGACAAATTTTACGACGGAAAGAGATATTTGATATTATGTGACGTTTAATTAAAGCGTGTAAATGGACAAATGATCAAATTTCGAGATTTCATTTTACAACCAAATATACCATTCTGCGTTACATTATCCTTTCTAAGCATGGACTTTGTATTTTTAAAAGTAAAAATAACTAGTTGTGCAAGTATCCTATGTAATATCCATTTGAAGATTGCTCATTATTATGTCAATTTATTGGTGTAATCAAAATCTTTTAAATTTAGTGAAATTCGCACCTTATTTTATTAGAATATGGAAGGATTGCATCATCATCGCAACATTTATGATATAGTGTTGAATTTTATGCGCCATTATGGCAAATAAATATTCCTTTCTGGGATTCTTTTCTGATGAAGCTCATTTCTTATTGCAGATTCATTTCGAGAGACTCCTATAATGGGCGCACGTCATTAATGACCAAATTAAGCAAATATTTTAGAAATTGTACAAAAAGCGCAACCTCTCCTGTCTACATACATATCAATTTTCAAAACCCACAAAAATGACAAATATGATTATATGGTCGTGGTCATTAGCAAATTGATGTCTGTGTGCTTCTCGCTGACCTGCTTACAATTTTATTTGCCATAAAAGTACATTCAATAGTGCACTCGACAAAGGTAATTCACTCCTTGAATTTCATAATGTGTTTACTCAATCTCCTTTATCAACAAAAGCACTAATCAATCAGTCAAAATAACTAATCAATATGAAGACATGCATGCATGCACATACTTCAGTCATCAGTAATGGAGAATTGCCAACGTAAATAATAAAAGGAAAATTTTTCGTGAATAATTTCGTGTCATAAAATCTTAAATCTAATCAAACCGTTAATGATTAAGGCACGCCGGCCGACCAGCTCAAAAACAAGCTAGCAAATGACTTTGTCGCATTATATGTTTACTTTCATTATTTATTATTTAATTTTCAGTTACAATAATGAATTTGTTGCGATAATTAAATCTTTTACGTAAATTTTGTAATAATTTCTATTCATTTTTGAATTTCAAATAATATTTATTTAAAGGAAGATTAGATAAATTCCAATTCAACTTTTGGTTTTCATCTTTGATTGAGCACATGCAATGCTCATTTATTTGCACTAATCACCCATCCAAGCCTTATGGTTTGTTGTATTGAAAAATTTAGTATTGCACACAGCTCTAAATGTGAAGTATAAAAATATCTATGCACAAAAAAATTATTCTATCAATTATAATTGCTTTTTAAGAGGATTGATGTCGGTGGAGTGAAATCCTTCGCTTGCATAATGCTATACACACATATCGACATCATTTCATAAGCCAACAATAGGACAGCATTATCGGGGACTAATTCTCTCTGGCTCAACTCTTATAAATAATATTTTATTCGAAGCAACGAACCCAGGTTGACGGTAGTACTATTTATTTATAGTGTAAAAAATTGGACGAGAGAAAGTGTTAATAATTTCATTGTCCTTTGGGTTTCAACAAGCCTAATTATTTCATTACCTTTCGCTTGTTTTCAAAATTGGCCGAATTTGAGGTATATAAATATATTGCCACATAATGAATGGTTGGTTGCAGAGAAATTCCTTGAAAGACGATCACGAATCAACACCACTCTAAAACTCAATGATCCTCATTCGTTGTGTAACTCACTATTAGCCGAATACGTGTATTTATGTACAATATGTGTCGAAAGCCCCGTTTTGCTAGGTACACGGTTGGCTTCAAAATACAAGTAAATGCCCTTCTCAAACCCTTCGTTGACGAAAAAGGTGACATTGCTCAAGTAGCAAATCCAATTTTTAACCACAGTCATCAAAACGGAATTTTACATATATAGTACGTACGTACACCACCTAAAAAGCGTCATTTTAATGTGCTCCTCGTAAAGTAAGTAGTGTGCACGCTGCAGCGGAATGAATTGAACATGTTCGTCTCATTTAGTGCAATATTATTTGACAATAATGACAAGAGTCACAGGCAGACTTGATAATTAACTCGCAATTTATTTCCTATAAATCTGCGCAGAACAGTTTGACACGACTATTTCTGTTTGACTTCAAGGACATTTAGAAATTAGACGTAACAAAAACTAATTTAGAGAGAAACAGGCAATTTGTAATACACATATGAATCGAATCGAAATCAGATATTGGTTTAACCATGCAACTTCGTGTATTGCTTGAAGAACACGGCACTGATAAGCGCCGAAGATCGTTGGGACGCGAGCTATACAACAAAATAATAATGATAGCATTGCCTAAGTTGATGAAGAGAGGACAAAAGGGATTAGGACGGAGAGGTCGTTAAATTATGAGCATAGATCGTTAACAAGGGGCTTTGATGCATGTGATTTCTGATTTCGACGAGTGATACCTGAAGTTAAACCATAAATGCTGATGGCAATAACGTGATTGTGATTTTACCAAAGCTAATTAAATATGACCACAATTACGGTTTCAACCCAGCAATCCCATTCAAACTGTTATTTAATAACTAATCACAGTTGAGGTGAACAACAGTCGAAGACGAATTGGATTGTGTGAGAGAAATAATTGTCATTTAATGCACACTTGACATGTGCATGTACTTATTTATGCACTAGTGCGAATTGGAGAATGTTCATATTAGTTCAAATTATCGCAGTATCACTTGTGCAGCAAGTTTTGTCATGTTTAACAGTGAGCATGGCAGAAAATTTATTGGGGTTGACAAACTAACGGTTACACCGGCTTTGCAAAATGTTAATTTATTTGCACTTGTTTTTTACATGAGGTAAACGTTTGCTTAAATGGCTGTCTCAATCACCAATCACGATACACCTGCACACTCGTTTGACCATTGCATTGTAAGTATTTTGCATTTGTAATACGTAATTGACTGGCGATTTGACATGAAAATGAACTAGATCCATAATCAATTTGGCCTATAGTCTCATTAGCACAACTTCAAATGTAGTCTTATGAATTAGCAATTGCTAAGGTTCATTATCTCAGCATTAGAATAATTGCGACGTCAGTTGAAGAGCTTCAATGAGTGTGCATAAGATCAAAATCTTTGGCTGACTTTATGGTACACCGAAAATTTGTAGCCAAAAAATAATGCATTTTTTATTAAGTAAGGACACTCCTCGTTACAGCCTTATGGTTTTGCAAGTATTATTATTTATTATTTATGAGCTGATCGTTGCTAATATTCTGAAACTCAGCCCATTTAGCAAGTGACACTTCGTTAATGGTTTCATAATCGGTTTCACTAAATTGCATTGCAAAATATTGCTAGTGAGCATACATAAATCTTACCAAATGTTTTCCTAGATTTACGCTTGGATTCTCCTCCGAACATGATGGTTTAAAATATCCGTGAATGTGACTGACCTCACAATAATGTTTCTGATGGCTTTTTCTCGTTTTTATAGCATACTCCCAGTTTATTGGCATACAACTCGATTACAAAAATGGCAAAAGAGTAGAGTTTGAGTGCCTGCCTTCTCTTACTTCATGTGACATTTGCAATTTACGTATGTGTAGTCAGATTTAGACATTTATGGGAGTTCTTCACATCAAATGAATGAATTATTCAACAACTTGAGAGATCCAACATTGACAAAGTTTTCTCCGTGGTTGAGAAGCATGTACGGTTGACACAAGGCGACAAGAATTTGTCGATTTTGTAGATAACTGCACATATAAATTTTAGAGAGAACGTACAATGTGCAAGTCAGTCAGATTCCTTTAGTGTGTTTGCTTCTGAACGCGATTAAATAATCCACTGACAATATGAAATGGTTAAGAATCGTGCGGTGACATCAGTCATACGGCATCCGTAATAATTCGTATTTATGCGAGTAAAGTGACACCATGCACTTGTCTCTTGTCTCATCCTTTAATGAATGCAAGTTCAACGCACACGCAGATAAGTGGAATTCCGAATCCAAATCTCGCTGAGGTGTCAAGTTTGTCATAAACCTTAAAACTCGTTGTGTGCATGTAAGTATTTAGTGATGCACAATATCTGTTGGTAAACCAAAATAGAAACTTGAGACTGCTCCTTCACTGTCCATAAATGATATCTCGTATTTACAACACAGTCAATTGGATTTAGATTACCACCATCACAGCAAATAAATTCCACACACACTGAATTGAGCAATTTAATCCTCTCATCGTTGTATTAACAGAGTCTTGAGCTGCGCAGTGTAGTTGCACAAGTGCAATAAATCACGAATCCTAATAGTTGTAATTGAATATTACTCAAGAAACTCATCACACATTTTCAAGAAACAAAAGAGTCTCGAAATAAGTCTTCAATGAAGCGAGAAACACAAAAGACACAATTCGCCAAAATAAGTGGTGCACGTGCATGAGATCTCGCCTCTAATCATCCTCTTCGTCAAAGAAGCACTGAAGATTGATGAGAGTTTTTGGCAAAGGTGGACCGTGAAAATTAACGATTGGCCTTGTGAACCACCTTTAAAGGGAACTGCTTGCTGCCACGGCTTGCCTCATATTTAGACGTGCTTTTTAAAGCAAATCTTGCAATGTGCAGAATAATGAGGAGAGCAGACGAACAAGATCAGAATGTCGAAAAACTGCCACACCACCACACAACAAAAATGTTTATTACGATGATGCAGAATTGAATCTTCTCAAATCTGGTTAGATAGTCCACATACTTATTTAGTAAGTAACTTTGTTTGTGAAAAATGCCACAAACATGCATGAATATGGCCAGAACAAGAATTCACACTTTAGATTACTGTCTGTATTGGTTAGCGTTATTTAGCACTTTGAATTGTTAATGCGGTGGGTTGGGTGACTGGCTGGCTGACTGACTCATGTGCAATTTAAACATAATTGTTATTGCTTAGAGTTGTGACTCAAATGTAGATTTTCGTGGTTGTAGATAAAACTGCAAAACTCACAAAAATCATATATCTATTATCCAATGTTTTATGACTTGATTCGAAGTAAATGGAGGCTTGACTGATCAATGATCTTAATTTTTATATATGCACCAACCAAACAACAGTAATTTCACTGTTATCAGTCTTCGGAGGAACACACTACGAATAGCAATTAATAAGCATTCCTCAGACTATGAAATGCCAAGCATTTCTAATAATAAATTTTTGGACCCACAACACCACCTCGCATGGTGTGGAATATGTCATACAAACCTTGCTTAATGGTTAACGTGTGACAATATGTTATTAAAACGAGATGTAAAACTTGGTGTACATAAATGCATAGGTACTAAATATTGATCCGCTGAAATTGGGGATGTGAATATTGAACACGGAACAGACCCCGTGTTTCATGTAAGTTTCAATAAATATCGCAAATTACGGTACAATAACTGCTGAATACTTATATCCACAGGTATGTATCTACCTATTTGTTCGTGAACTGGGTGATAATTATGATGAATAACGTTTAAAAATAGTTAGTGAATTAGCTCCCAAACGAGGCTTTGTCTTAAACAATAATCACTTTTCCTCACACAGACGACGAGACGACTGTCCATTCTATTCCGACCAAGCTGTCTTCTAAACAATCCCATTTCTTTTCAGACTGCTTGCAGATTGAACCAAGAGACAAAGAATTGAATTTAAATTAAGATTATGATGATCTAACGCATGGCAATATTAACAAGAGTACAAATGATGAACAAAAAGAATGCCATTATTGCCGCTATATATATATCACAATTTAATCATCCCCGAGGGTAGAATTCATGTGTGATTGGAACAAATATTGCCAAATCCATGTCATCTGAATGCGAATTTTACTGAAGCCAGAGATGAGCATAGTGCAACTACTGTATTGACAGACCATTATTGCTTTGATTTATACATATGCACTGACATGCTCTGCTGATACAGTATTTGAATAAATGTTGACTTGGACTCTCTACTTGCCTTACAATTTAAGAATAGGAGCACCTTAATGAAATAAAATAACAAGGATTCCTTTTCCCATCTGATGCAACTCGTTAAAAATGGGATGGTTAAAAGTGAAGTATCAAATTTCAGAAAGTCTAATCTAATCTCAAATTTTGTGTAGTGCTGCTAATGCGAATATTCACCCTTAAGTGTTATGCTAATCAAATATCCTAAGTAAGAAACCAGCGCTAATATTTGCTCAGATCTTTGCAATAGATAACACAATGATAATGTCGAGCCCAAATATCCTTAGGGCTATACACCCATGTCATACAGAAGAGGTAGGACATGATCACACGTTTCATGAAAAAAATAATGGTCAAAAATTCAAAAAAATTACGGTTTGAGAAGATTGATGAATACGAATGATAATGGATCTGAGTCATCTCGAGGTAATCCAGCAAAATCTTTTGTTCATCCTGACCACTTTGTAATCATTCCTCCATTGTTGCATCATCTGGCCAATGCGCACCTTGTTGCAGAGGATGAAGGAACGTCTTCCTTTGCACTTATCTGATTTAGCACAACGTAATTTCACGTTTCTTCCAATTAAAATCCTTGGAAGCGAATTGTATTAATCTTGACTATACTTGGGAATTAAAGGCTACTGTGTTTCAATAGATTATGTCAGGCCAGATGTCTACTAACGTCAGTTTCACAAACCACATTTAGAGATTTAAATCGAATTTAATCTAATCATAAGTTTAAATATTCTCACCTCAACACTTACTTTACAAAGGAATTAATAATGTTCAACCAACAAATTGATAATTTAGCCCCATCAGTGCAATTTTTTGTTTAACATGAGAGAGCTCTCCTTTAATGGTGATGATTGGGAGAGGTTATTTAAACGTACTCCAGTTGACAAAATTCAGTTATTCACGTGTGTGTCATATAAAATGACGTCTCTTCCTATGTATTTGTATTAAAAGTTGATCTCACCCTTCCTCATTGCTACATGCCATTTTGCTATATCAGACCACCAACACTTGCATATGAAACCAAATAGGTAATTGTTTTTCATTTGTTGCGATGTCTTATTAAGCTTACAGTATTCTTGGGTTTGATATTTGAAGGTCAGTATTCGTACTTTATCGTGCATTTTTTCAGCACCTTCCTTTGTTGAAGACGGTTTTGTGTGTGATATCATCGCATCATCAAATGAAATTATACCGTTCAATGGTAGCATTATGCCATATTATTACTGACCAGTAGTACTAAACCGCTCATTAACATCAGCATTGTCCGCAACCGCCTTTCTTACTTCTTGCTTTTACAGCACATGATGTCATTTTTTCCTTTCGATTAATTCCTTATTAATGATAAAACAATGCCTCCGCTTTTGACAAAAGAACAAATCTCAAGATGCAGATGTCTTCAAATCACATGCTAAATCTTCTTCAATCCTTGTGTTGAAAATCTCATTTTTTAACTTACAAAAAACTAGTCAAGTCACCACTGCTACTGCTACACAGCAGATAGAATGATAATATTTTGGGGCAAGGCACTGCTAATCCATGACATGACTCCATCCAGGCTTATCTGATTCTTGCTGCACAACTGTTGCGTAATACTAGTAGATTGCTCATCGGAAGCAATTACGGATAGGTTTAGTATGATCTACTATTGTGAATTCAAGTGTTATCATTCATTAGTATTCGTTGTGGAAAATTTTACGCGAGTCCTATAACCTCATCATCAGCTAATCACGACCAGCAGTTGAGATCAATCACCTTCTTCAGTTCAATAAAATCCAAGTCTTATAGGTTCACGGAATACAGGCGACAGACATCGTTTGCACGTTGGTAGTCTCTCAACAATTATAAAATATATGCGAATTTAATACAATGAAATATTTGTCAGTTCAAGATTCGACGATCAAGTTCAACACGAGTTGCTACATAGGAAATAAGCACGTCCTTCGTCTGTTCGAATAATTATATGTAAATCAATCTCTCAGATGCAATATGTATGTGCACATATGTATTTCGCAAGCTAATTAAATCCATGCACTTTTTAAATAGGTATTCCAAATGATGATACTGATTGATTTTTGGTGAACTATACAAATTCAAAGTCTTAAAACAGTTGGCATTCATGAGCAACTCAAGTTAATATGCTGTGCATTTTTCTCCACACCAACATTATGGGTGAGAAATGGCATACACCAGCAAAAATGTCAAGTCGTACGAGAGTAAAAATTTGCAAAAAATTGGAGTCACGATTTTATCAACTCACAAATCCAATTAAGGAAAGCATCAATCAAGAGCTTAAATCCTTCTGCAACATAGTGACCCACAAATCCACAATCTGAATTTTGAAATTTCATTTTTAGAAACCCATTCACCAAACAATACTCATTCATCAAGAGTACAAATGTATTACGCAGAATGCAGCGACTAGTTTCATGGCAAATCTTAAAATTGTTTATAAAAACGTTTTTTATTTAGCTATCAATCAAAAACCTTGTACAGAATTCCACATGATGAATTCTTCAGTAATAATCTGTAAAATGAGTCATTACATGATAATGCTGGATGAAAAGGTATGGAATGCAGTGCACGTCGTCTACTATTAAATAAAGTGGTTGCATCGTACACATCACATTATACGTAATAAAGTACCATCTACTGTCAATAACATCCCGGATTAAACTCGATATAAGAGTTGCTTACCTTGAAAGGATCAGTCTTGGAATTCAATTTGATGGACGGATCTCAGGTTATCAGTTTTCGAAACCTGTTCCTTTGGTTTTTTGTGTGCACCTTAATGTTTAATGTCAACAATGCGCCAAAGCCACGTCACTAAAACACCTCAAATGGTCCTCAGGCTTAAAATGATTCAAAACTGGGCAATCATCTTCTAAGGAATGTCACTGGGAGACTTTGGTTGGTTGAACATTGTTTAAAATCTTTATCAAACTGGAAGTAAAGTGATATCTTCAGAAGGGATCAATCGCTGGCTCAAACTACATGGTAGCAAACTTAAGATGTTTCCAGTTCCAGTTCTGAGATTAATTTGTACTAAAAACATTATAATAAAAACACGTTAATCAGTTGATAATATTATTTTCCATTCTGTAAAAGCAGTACAGCGTCGTTTGGTAGACATTCAGACAAATGGCTACCATTTAGGTAATATTGAATTGGCAGTATTAGGTTCTACACAATAAAACCCACATTTACAGGTGTACATACACTATGACGTTTATCCACCGCATAAAAATATCCGCATTCTCCAGATCAGATTTATGCATTATTGACGGTTGAGCCGTATGTCGATGTAAATGAAAAATTTCAGGAATTGTTTTTTAATGCATTGAATGCCATTCAACATAGGTTCACGTTTTGCAGTTATCGTACGAACGACGACGGTGGAGCCCAGATTTGCATGTCCAAAATAAACTCAATCAATCACTCACAGGATAAGTAAATATTAGTGCGATGCATCTCTGTCTGTCACTTTCTGTGAATCGTGGTTTTTGCATAAATATTCCTGGAATATGACAGTGAAAACGACCGAGCTTACCACAAATTCTATTACCTTACTATTTCACAGATTACGGGTGGAAATACAGATTTCACACTTTAATCATTCTGATTCGACGAGTTGCACAAATGACAAGATGACTAATCATCGTAAGATTGGTTACTGCGAACAGTAAGGAACAGGATAGTGAGAACTAAGCATGAATCTCATCACTTTAAAAAGAAGAGTTTGACACAAATCACAGACCCGTCATCTCAATAAACAAATTTGATTTCTATTAATCACAAATTCCTTTCAAGATGCAAGTTGCAGCTCTTTGAACAGGATTTTCCTTGTCTAAACTAGAAATATTGGTTCATGATTATTAACTTGAGTCACAGTTTAAACTACTGATACAACATGCCACAGTGCTACCTGGCAATCAATATCAATTGTTGCAAAAAGATCTTCTGTGCATTGCAGATTATGCTGCATATGTATGTAGGATATTTTTGCATAGCATGTACGTATCTAAGGACAAAAGTAGACCGTTCCGATTTACATATATTGAAAACATGAATTTTTAATTAGCAATCCTGAAAAATTGAATCTACGAAATGTAATAATCAGAATTAACAAAATAATGTAATTATAATTTAATCTCCGAAATATACTGGACTGGTTCTGATTAGCGTCGACAATAGCAAGCAAGTAAACTGTTCATATAATCAATATTCGAACACAATAAAACATTCAGCAATTTTAATAGGTTTTATGTTTCATTTACAAGACACTCGATTTAATGTGCGTAGTTTTCAGTACACTCAACTTATATTGAAACCTAAATATTATGACTGCAATTCACTCTAGACAAACAAGTTCCATGCATTTATGTATATGCTAAAAAGCATAAAAACGCGATGAAATATTTATTTCTAAATATAATTTCTAAATATTTATTTTGCAGTTTTTATGTGCCTGTTTGGCTTTGTGCATATGTTGTATGTACCAATCTATCAAATTTCTAGTCTTGATACCTCCAGTCATTAAAATTCTTGTCGAATGCTGAGAAAATAGCAATTATTTTTTACTGCAGTGACTCGTGAGATACATACATATGGAATACGTTATTGAATACAATAGTTTGGCTGTTAGAGATAATAGGAGATTCCACTTTGTAAATAAATTTAAGACGTGAACAAAAAGAAAATTTTAAACAACAGAGTCTTAAGCAGCTATGATAATTGAGTTTTTAATAATTTTACAAAACAAATATTCACATTTCAAGTCTGATAGACATTTTCAAGCGGAAATGAATTTTATTTAATTTTTTAGAAAAAAGAACAAGTACATACACTGCAAACATACATACAGTCAATGGAACAAGTATTGGCAACACCCACACAAGCTAAATAAAATTGGCTATAACTTTGACATACATTATCAAATTAGTATGAAAATTTGTACGCATTTAACAAATCCAATGTAGTGTTCGATTATAATCATGTTTCTGATTTAAATCTAGTAAACATAACACAATCCTGATTTTGACCCCCATGAGTCAGACGCAAACCTGCAAAAAGTATTGGCAACATGTGGCCAAATTAATTACAATTTTCGATTTCAATTAATCGAAACAATTTTCTTAACCATCTTCCACATTTCGTTTCGGTAAGTTAATTAGGTGACAAAATATGAGGTTAGCTACATTTTCAGTCTAGAGTTGTGTTGTCTGGAGCCAAAATGGCGACACCAAACGAGCTGTATTTGGCGCGGCGAGAAATAATCATGTCTCTTTCACAAAAAAGCGTTACTATCGAAAAATCAAAGAGAAAACATACTTTTCCATATTTACTATTGAATACGTAGCAAAGAAATATAAAATGACAATCTCAGTTTCTACTTTTCCATGATGCGGAAGAAAAAAGTCATCTACGCCCAAAACCTAAGGATGACTCAAGCAACGAACCACTCGAGAGCGGAAGATTTCAGCTTCCAAATCCATGTTAAATTGGAGTATCAACTGTAGGGTCAACATATCATACAATATGGTAATCAATCAAAAATTATGCCTTGGGGTTCCAGGCTCCAGAAGCCCGACCGACGCGAGGGTCCCCAAAGCGAACCACCTCAATAAATCGGAATGGGCTAAATATCGCCCTAAATAGAGTTCCGATCAATGAAAAAGGGCCTACTGGTCCGACATAGGCATATTTTACTTATTCGGAGCTCATTAATTGGTTCAAGTCTGGCGGATGCAATAAAAGGCTCAGAAATACTAAAACGTTCGTATGGCAGTTTAACACATAGGAGGATCGATTATGGTTTGGGGTTAAATGACTAGGTGGCGGCGTGTTTACCTGGTCATTATCGATAAAATTATGACCAGGAAGGTGTTGTCAATCATTCCAAACGATAATTTGAAATCATTTAACAAAAACCTGACCTAGGAAAAAATTTCATATTCCAAAAATGCAGTGACCCCAAACATGTAGCCAAATTAACGATGCAAGTTTTTGGAGACCGAAAAGGTTAAGATTCTTTCGTTGGCTACACAGTCTCCTGATGTGATTCTGATTGTCCGGGTTGAGAAAAGAGAGACCGATGGGAAATCACTAGTCGAAAAACGAGCGTGTCAAAAGTTTAAAAGAACTGTGGGCAGCCATATAAAAAAACGTTATATAGGAACTTGTCGAATAAATTCCACAGCCTATTTCTGCTCTTATTGCTTCGAGGGGACGTGCCACGTAATACTAGAAGCACTTTGTCGCAATAAAATTGTCGTTTCGTTGCTCAGTGATTTTTTAAGTTAGAGGGTGCCAATACTTTTTGTGGGTTAATTTCGCAAATTTTCCAACAAATTATTTAAAAACTGCGTTAATCTAATTTTAATCAGTAAAACATGATTATAATCGAAAACTACATTAGATTTGCTAAATGCGAACAAATTTTCATGCTAATTTGATAATGCATGCCAAAGTTATAGCCAATTTTATTTAGCTTGTGTGGGTGTTGCCAATACTTGTTCCATTGACTGTAATATGCAACTCAAATCAAAATAGTTGTAAATTAGATATCTGCTACTTGCCAATTTACAGACAGGTTCAAAATATTGAACTAAAATATTTAACACATGTACATATACCCCACTTGTATGTACATACATACGTCCTATTTGTACAATATTTTGATATTTTAAACGTAGAAAAAACCTGATGAAAATATGAAATTACCTGAATGAATCTGGTAAATAATGGGTTTTCAATTTAAAAGATTTATTCGCCTCTGATTTTTATTTTTCAGGAATGCAAATTAATCATGGCATTTATGAATTCTTACCTACATAGGAGGCGAGTTTACGCGATGATGCTTGCCAAATACCACATACACTTTCACAAGCGTTCACTAAGGCTTTTACAAAATATTTCCTTTTGGCAAATTGACGTTAAACTTTTAACAAAATTGTAACGCACAAGTATATTCGTGTAATTAAGCACATGAGAAACCAGAAAAAGTCGCAAGTAGATGTACACATACATGCACTATGATGATGAATTATTAGCAACTCTGTGCAATACCAGCAGCACAACTAACCAACAGAAAAGGTTTCACCGGTTGGAGTTGATACGTAAATATTGACTGTACTACATATTAGTGCGCATATTTCAGACTTGTCCAGGATGAGTAATTCTTTCTGAGAGTTGGATGGGGTCGAATTGGTAAAAAGTGGGCTTCACTTGTTATCAACCCTTGCTGTGACGATTACACAACACGACCCAATAACGCAACATTTGCTAACAGATGCTAATAATACACATGTTCACTTATATATTTGGCGTATGTATGTATGTATGAGTCACTAACCTGTACAACATGGAAATGTGTACTCTCTACGCGTCTCACATATATAATACTCTTATAATTCATTGTATGAGATATTTGGATAAATTGTTATGACACAGCAGATGCAAACATGCAAACTGCGAATTAGTAAGTTACACAGTTCTTTTCTGGAAAGAGGATAAAATTGTATTCTTCTAAGCATATAAATCCTTTCAACACCTTTTGTTTAATTGCTGATTTTGCTCCAAGAGATCACGGGCTTAGTGTTGTCAGCAACTGTGAAAGCTAACTAATCATGCTCAAACTTCATATATCCAAATTTTAATATTCATATACAATAGTTTGTGCGAGGCTGAACTTGTCATCATCAAATTATGTCGTATAAACAAGGTCATGCTAAATCCTGAACAATGGTCGATGGTACGCCCTTAAATCACTCCTCCATGATTATCTTTCCTACTGCATAATCCACTAACTGAGGTAAGTGAGCATTTATATGTTGACGTGCACTTCCTAATGATTAAGGCATCATACCCCAAGCGAGGACGTATGTTCATAAATATGCATTCGAACAATTAGTGGTAGGACATTATCTGTAATTGAGATATGCATCAATTAACTTGAGATGTCATTCAAATTATTTGGTACAGTGTCCTTTTGAAATTCTGAATTAATTGAATTTCAATGCCACTTTGGTTCTGGGGATGTCACGAAAGCGTCGAAATACAGTGATACTAGCAAATACATAATTCAATTAAACAAGATTTATTAGCAGTTAATATCATTTTTGTCTTAATTAACTGCATCACATTTGTTGACACCTTATAAATACATAGATCTTAAATAAAATTTAATATTTTAAAACAGGACGGAAGTAAGTGGTAACTCAATTTATTCTCTTCATTACTACTCAACCACGGCTGTATGTACACACATATTTATTACTGGAATAAAGAATAATAAACACGTTAAAGACTTAATTAGTTAATTGACCTGATTAATTAATTTGTGCATTTATTTTTAAGCTATAAACACGATTGGTCCCAAACGTTAACTGCATTTCCATAAATGAGAGCAGACAATTTTCAGTAAGCCTTGTGAAGCTGTTCGCACGACTTGGAGCTGAGCTGGGAGTACTGGCGTTTGAGCGTCGTCTGGCTCGTATTGGACGCCAAGAATTCTCTTCGAGCAACCTCAAGCAAGATATCCCCGGTTTTTATGCTCTTGAAAAGCAGCAAGGCTTCCGCGTGGGTGGAATTTGCAAGCGGATGCCCATTTATTGACAGTATCTCATCCCCTATAAAAACAAAGGTTGGTTTATTACATTAGTGACATTTGCATATTACAAAATCATAAAAATGGGACACAACGCACTGCACAGAATAAATTATGGCACAACATAAAAAATATGATGAAATTTATAACAGAGACCAACCAGCAAACGATTTCATTGAAAGACTTCTGTAGGAAAAATCAACAATCAACTATGCCAACTACTTTCCAAAGTTATCGCTTTGGACGCTAGATCTCCTCAGCAGTGTGAGCAACAATGAAATTGAAAGTGCATGAACATTGACGATTTATGCATCGTTTCGAATTTAGTTCTTACCCTCCGTTATACTCCCTTCTTCAGAGGCTTGTCCATAGGGGAAAATCCGCTGCAAAATAATAATATAACAACAGTATAATAACATGTACTCATCCTCAAAGATAAATTACAGATTAGAATTAATTAGAATTGGCTACGATTGATTCTTAACGAATTTGTTCAGTATTATCATACCAATCATATTTTTAGTTCAGATTTAACATGATTTAACTGATGAATCACCTTGATAAATATTCCTGGAACGGGTGAATCTGAACCTCCAATTATAGAGAAACCAAGACTCTTTTTTCTCGGCCCCTTGTTGAAGCTGACCGTGAAAATCGACAGGCAAAGAGACTTTGATCTGCTTGGTTTTATAGAATTCCACTCACGGTCCTTGTCTCGAACACGATTTCTTAGTCGCAGAGAAGGAGCAGAGGAAACTTTTTGTACATCATTCAACATGGGTTTTTTAATTGGTAGGGTAGTGGTGAACTTTTCGCCAGATTCTTCCACCTTCGTTCTCGATTTTGATTTCTCCTCTTCTGTCCCCCCATCACTGACAAATACGCTTGAACCACTTGATTCTTGATAACCAATTGTCACATGGTCTGCGGGTTCCATTTGTGCAATTGAGTCTGTCGTCTTTCTTTCTTTGACCTGTTCCAAGGCTCCATCAGTTGCATGGGAGTAAAAGTCCACGTCTTCTGATTGATCTATTTCAGAAGTAACTTCTATAATTGAACCGTCTTCGCCTTTTCGAAACCCATTGACAGAGGACGATCTAAACTTGGGGTTTCTATTAATCGTATTAATTGTAATTAAGCAGCCACCACTGGCCGGAAATGAACACGATGATGAACCCCCAGAAGAGGTGTCACTATCATTGGTGGACCCTGTTTGAGAATCCAAAGACGTCGTCTCGGATTTCTTGTTAATTGTTGAACATTCTTCTTTGATTGGATCAATGTTGTCGGCCTCCGTTTCCGACGATGCTGGAGACTTGACAGAATTCCTAGGCGACTCGTGTCCATTTCTCGTAGAGTCGCTGTCATACCCACTTTCTTCTACTCCATTGGAATTCCCACTATTAGATTTGCCAACCTTGCGCTTGTCAGCCAGCATATCTCCGATGGAGTAGCTTCTTCGTCCCCAGAATGTAGGGCTAGGGATCTGCTCATCAATTTCGGATGGATTTCTGTGCAGTAAATCAATACGGATTTGCTTGAGTGGGTCGTCGATATGGTCGCTGAATATCCGGCAGACACTTTCTACTTCGTCTTCACAATCTACGGCTGATGAGTGATGACCCTCTTCCTTGGTCGATGATAGCAGATTTCCCATACTGTGGTGAAACCCTTTGTGTACGAAATTTGACGCGAATGAACACGAGTTTTGAGTGTGGTCCTGCTTTTGAATAAGTGATACTCGAGGAGGTTTTATTGGGCATTTTTTAGGTTCTTCCTGTAAAGAGGATAATCTTGACCTTATGATGTAGTCGTGTGGAAATGAGGACCGCTTGGTATTCGTCGTTTGTGTGGTAAAAGTTTGTTGTGGTGAGAAGCATGAAGAATCCAGAAACGGAGTTGTTGACGTGGACATATCCCTATAGCCTGGCAGCGTTCTGCCCTGATTTCCATTTTTAATGGATAGATTCTCACAGCTTGTGGCTTTTGGGAGTTGATATCTACTTCGAAATTGATTCATGGCTGACAAAGGGCTGAAAATTGTGTCAGATTTTAGGGACGAAATGGAAGAATATTTGGAGTGGAAAATCTCATCATTTTCAGTATAAAGTGTAGGGAACTGGAACTTGTTGTCGTTCAAATCACAGTTGAGATCTTGGGTTGTCATTGTACCTTTATCTTGCTTGGAATTGACAAATCTTCCCCGATAAATCCTGTTAGATTTTGACAATAAAAGTCGTAGGGATTCAACCCGACCTATTTTTCGCTTTGGTGACAAAGACATTGTATCGTGTTGTTGCTGACGAAGAGGGTCGATTCTTTCAGACATTGCGATTCTTGCAACATGTTCCTCTTGGTCTTCAAATTTAATGTTTTCTTCAGAATTCGGATGAAAGTGTAAAGTTTTCCTTCTGTGAGAAATCACGGATTTGCTCAACTGATCCGAGGATTCAGATCTTCGCAATGAATCCCATGGTCGGGCCACTCTTTTCCACGTGGACACTGTTGGATTAAAAACACGTAATGTTTAATGTGTCGACCATATGGTATTTAAATATTTACTCGTGTTTCACATTAAATTTTTACTTTTGGGCAAAACTCAATATCGTAAAGCTTTGAATAATGATTAGCATGTATGACGCAAATGGACTGGCCAACTGAGGAAAACACTTGTCTGCATATTAATTTAGCAAGTAGGCAGCAGAACAAGTTACTAATTGTAAGTTTCCGTGAAGCAATTTTATTTTGACCAAGAAGAGTGAAAGCCCAAAAATGGAGTGTGGCAGGTTTACGGATCAAGTAGCAGCATACGAATATATGCAAATGCATATACAGACACCACCTGATTGAATTCGCCCTTCAGTAATAACTTAATGGATAGCTTTTATGATAAATGACTTGCCATTTGTCATTTTGCACTTGTCCGGTTGCTGAGGCCTTTTGAACGTTGCTGGCAGCAGACCTTCTGTCGTTGGTCGTTCTTCCGTTAGTGTGGGCATGGTTCGACTCGATTTGTTGAGTTGGGGAGCTTGCCCTCCGATAATTTCCTCGGTGGGTTTCAAAGGCGACATTCCAACGAGGCGTGGGTCATCAAATTCCATCTCTTTCCGTCGGTTGAAAAGTCTCATCGTTACACGTTTCCGCTGTTGTTCAATACTCCTGGTGTGACTCAATATGGTTGCAAGGGCTGTCGTGTCTCCTTTTCACATCCTTCAGCCGTGCATGTCCCAACCTCTCCACGGATCGACAATTTCTGAAAATTTAAAACGTAATTCTTAGAAATTGGCGTAATATATGGAAGAAGAGCGGAAACTATTGTTGCATGCTCATGTTTCTGAACTGCATCATCTTCTATTCAGTTTGTTCATTGATAGGAAAACAATTTAAAATTACTGGACTTGCTTCTTTACGTGGGTGAATGGGAAAGTTGGTTGTGCAACTCATTACTGATACAAGAACACAGGGGAGGAATTTGTGTGTGACGGACGACAAACTACGTGACAAGACAAGAACGTAACTTATTTTGTGTGGCGATTAGCATCGAAAGTGTAACACTTAGCAAACTACAAAATTTTCTCAGAATTGTAAAAAATAAGATGTCAATCTTAATCCATAATAATCCAAATAAATACGAAAATATCGCGTAAAATTGGGTTATTGGCAATACTGTCTGTTTTTCAAATGAATTATCTAGTTATCATTTATGGTCCGAATCTTATCTAACATGCATGCACATCTTTAGTTCGCAAATTGTATACCTGAGATTTCGTCGTACATGAATGAGCGTGAGCTTGATGGGGAAAATCAGGAACCCGTAATAAGGCTACACTTATTTTGTACGTGACAAATAGTGGCATGTACATTTGCATTACCTTATCCTTAGCATTTCTACTCATATGCATTTACCTACCGTATAGCATAATCATTTATTTAGTCACCACAATTTGTTGATGGACACTGCGATGCTCAATTTGACCGTAATTTATATAATGATGCTCCCACTTTTTGCACGTATGCAACAGGCCACCACGTTTCCATTTGGTTTGCTGCACTTGAAAAGGATTGTTTTGTTTTGAAACGGGGACAACACAGAAGTTAGACAATTGATTAAGCCCCTTGTGACCTTAGTGAAACTTTTGATGTCTTGTAAACTAAGCACATCATTTTTCCATGTGCGATATCATTGTTTGACAAGTTTTTTCAATCGAAATAGTCGTATAACTTCAGCCAACGCAATGATACGTACATAGATTGATTATTTTGCGTGACGAATAATTTTTGTAAAAAATTGAAACCTGTTTTCCCAGATGAGAGGGAATTTTTAACAAAGCAATAAATGCCAAGACGTATATCTCACTGTTACAAAGCGATTGTTTCTTGTGGCACCAACGGACGGAGTTAAAACTTAAAATGAAAGTCCATAATCGATAATTCAGTACTTAAGAGGAAAGTGAAATTCGGCGTTTCACGAAATATTAAATGTTTGCTTATTATGACTTGCAAAAATGTATCCTATAACATTCATTTTAAATTGGAGTTTTGATTCTGATTAAAATCTGGTAAAAACAATGAAGTTCCAAATTGTAATAGGGACTAATGAAGATAGCGATAAGATGCAGCCATTCAGTCAGAATGACGGTTTCTTGTATTGCTTCTTGTACCAAATTACATATTTATTTTATTTACAAAAATGTCTCTAGTGTAATTATGGCACTTACGAGGGTGCATACTTAACAACAAAGGGTTAAAGGTGGTCATAATACTCTGACAACTGTACTGACTGTTGACAACTAGCACATGTAATACTTATCATCGACAATAAAAATGATAAATTTGGCAAAGCTGGCGAATGAATGCATGTACTTATGTATGACGACGCCGTTAGATCATAAATAGTGGCTGACGATGAACGTATGCTCACTTGGGTGCAAAAATATTGAAGGCTCGCAATCAGTATGAGGTCTTTAAGCTAATGAGCTAAAAATTCTGATCGTGATATTCTTTTAATTTTTATGTCAATTCAATCTGATTTAGTGTTGGATTTGGATTCTTTTTAGCACAATTCGTGTAAACCCTTGCAATCGAGCAATGAATGAATGAAAGCCAAACCACCCAACGAGTCGTATCATACGCACATAATTGAGTTGCGGTGTCTACATAAATTATGGCATTTCAAATTCTATTTTGCCTCACATTTAGCTGAGGAAGTTGTATGTATGTACATATAAATATGCCTTTTGGTAGAGGTAGAAATAGCTTATTAACATAGACCACACAAGCAATTTCTCAAAGTGTTGAACCATAAAAATTTCCCATCAATCGTCGCTTATTGACTCCTAGTATGCAAATGTCTTTTTGTACAGATCTGTCATTAATTTATATAGGGCAGAGTTTTGCTGTCCCATTGTGTAAATCCTTCATTTCGTACATTTACCCTGTTGATCTAGATTCGATTTAAATTGATTGGTCGCCTCATTAAATGCTATTTTTTATGGTTGGCTGAATGAGTCGTGTCTTGTTAGAAGATTAAATGATTAAGAAAATTAAACTTTTTCCAAATACAATGAAAACATAATGACCTTCGTTGTTTTGGCTTGCCAATATACTTCACAACTATGTACAAGCTATACGTTAGCTTGAACTTTTTACACTAATTTGGACAGGTGAAATTTGTTTACTACATATTCGTCGGTGTGATTTTACTTGACTTTACTCCAGCAAGAAATATATGTAGATTCAGACATCCTCAATTACATGATTAGTAAGTAAAACGACCAAGAAATGATTTATTATACACAAAAATATTTAAATAAAATGTTCAGATTTTGATTTTTTGACGAATGTGACGAAATTTCTCATAATGTAAATTAGTCTTGCATGGATGGAACCGAGTATCTGTAATAATACAGATGTGTCCAAGAGCGAGTTCCCATTGTTCCCCTCCATTCATTCTAGCTAGTTTTCTTATTGATAATAAACCTAGTTTTTAAAACCCGTTAAAATGAGGTATTATTCAGTGTAGATGATGATGGTGGTGTTATGTGATATCAAACCGGCAAGAGCAATTTTCTCGTAGAATTATACACAATGAATCTTTCGTCTAAAAACCTGAACCGACTGCGTACTAATATATTCCAACCGACATACTCGCTACCATTCCTGCCGTTTTGCACTGCGGATGAGCAAATTGCATTACTTATCTATCGCGAAAAAAACATGTTTCTACATTAGTTACCAATTACGCGAAGAAAAGAAAAGGAAGCGATGACATACGAAATCTGCAGGAGAAGATGAATCCAAGCCTTATCCAACCGTGGAGTGATGTGGTGATATGCAATCCAACCAGCAACCAACCAACCAGGGACAGAAAGCAATTGCCAATTGTAAAATGTCGGAGGACAATAACACCCCGTTACCACCAGGAGATCATGGGATAATCAAGCCACGAATCTGATCTTGCCGCACACTTAACGCGACTTAATATATTGCATTACACTCAATTCAATTCAATTTCAATACATTGCATAATAGAATAATCGTCGAAACGTACATAACCTCAACTTGTGCTCGTGCTGGTTCTCTCAGCAGTGCAAGAAATTCTCAGAACTGCAACCATCCAAAACCATTATGTGTTTCTTCTTCTTTTCGACATTTTGTGTGTATGTACATGCTTGACAATTCGTCAGTTCCCGATAAATGAAATGTGACACTGTAGAAACGTCATAAAATGCGAATGGTACTTACAAATGAAAAACCACTGAAACCAGTATTTTTTCCTCTAATTTGCAGATGACTCTTCCGGCCGTACCCTGGATGCATATTTTGGAAACGCTTTTACTTGTATTAACGATGTGTATGCTGTTGATGAAACAGCGTGAACCAGTGATAGATGAAACTGTAATAAGTGCTGATTATCACGACAGAAAGAGAGTGCGAGCGACACACACAGGGTCAGGCTTCCGTTTTATGTATAGTTCCGAACCCTGAGTGGTCCAACCAAGGATTTAAATACACCCCATACGACGCTAATGCCATTTAAAATTCAGCATCTTAACGGCACATTTCATCAAGTAGCGTAGAAATGGCAATGCTTCGTGGTAGCATGAATGCATTTTCTATGCATGTGTAGAATTACTGTACCGACCGGCATAAAAATTGGGGAGGACATAATGCGATACTACTTTTAAAATCAAAGTTAATCTTGCAAATGTGGACCCCCGTTGTTTTTCTTCCTGGCTTACATCCGATTTAATTGACAAATAAACCGCCTAAACAACTAGTAATCCTTGACTTAATGCTAGGTTGTACTTATTGCTGCTGCTCGTAAAATAAACACGGCCCCCACAGATGCGTTTTCGCCCACTTTTTATGATGGGAGACAAGGGATCCTACTCAAATTAGGATTTTTATTATTATTAGTAATGTTCCATTGATGATGACTGATAAAAACATCAAACACCAGATAACAAAATTACGGATGTGTATAATAAACACGCTGCTGAATCCTTAGTCTCGTTCCTAAGTGCAAACTAATGTTCGTTTGTGAGGTTTTTGATTTAATCTTTATCATGTTCAAAAAGCCTGATGTCTGAAACTATTTACACACAAAATAAGACCACGTCCTAACGTTGGTGAATAACTGCTATTCAGACATTGTGAGACGGTCATTCCATTATCATCGATGTGTTCATTCATCTATAAATGTTGCAAATGCGAAAAGTTGAAAAGGAAGTTATCAGAGAGTAAGCTCAGAATATTCAAATAAAAGTAGAGTGGACCTCAATTTGCTAAAGAATAACGTGATTGCAAACATGATGGAACAGATATTCAAATCGGAGAATGAGGAGGACCACTAGTTGGACATGCATGGTCGTGTTTATCTCTGCACATTTTCAAAACATTATCGTGACATAATTAATTTACCCTCTTCGTAGAGAATACCGAATTTTTTATTTTCATAAGAAGGGCCTGAGGTACACAGTTCTGTAAATTAAAATGCATCCTTGTCACACGTATCAACTTACTTATATAATTCTTAATAATTTGTGTCTCTAAAGCCTCTATAATGTAGAATTATGACTTGCACAAAATACTAGAACCATTAAAAATGATTAGATGTATAGACTTTGCAATTCTGTAGAAGACTGATAAAACTAATTATCAGTAATGTAAATCATATTATTATTCTTGTTTCAAGTTCTGGTGGGTGGTGTACAGTGCAGTAGTTTTATTACTAAATTTTCGCCCCCACAC